ATCACGAAAAACATATGAAGTAAACCTTTTTCCCACAAAAATCAGGAGCATGAGAGTACAGATTTTAAACATTTATATATTTTCCTGCATTTTCTCATAAAACAAACAGAGACAGTACTCCAATTAAAGAATATAAGTAAAATATATACATGCATGTGTATGTATATATAAAGAAAGGGTAAGAGAAAGAACCGGGAGATTCGGATTGTAAAGAACAACATTTGACGGTATGGTAGCGAGGTAGAGAGACTGAGCTTCTAGTGAAAATGCCGGTGGCTGGAACACGAGATAGGCGATGAGTCGCCGGAGACAAACGGTGAAAGATTGCAAGGGTGTCCATTTTTTGGAGCTTCAGGGAGAGAGAGGGAGACAAACACAGAGATAGAGAGAGAGAGTAGTGAAGATGGGAATAGAGTGAGTTGGTTTCACTCCTCCGTTGTCTGGTAATATAGGCCTGTTTCTCTTTCCTCTCTTTTGGACTTGTATCCGGGAATTCCGTGTAGTAACGGAAGCATCTTTAAACACCTCGACTGCTTATGCTGCTTTTCCAATAATACCCCCAAAATAAAATTTCTTAAATTTAATTATTTTTTATATTTTGAAAACACTCTCAAATTAACAACGTAAGAATTTCGATTTGAATGATTTGTTTTGGAATTTCGACTTAAAATAACGTGCCAGATTGATGCTTGCAGAGTTTTAAAAAGTTTTAAAATAAATAGTAATCGATATATATGAAGTAAGATATACTAATAATTGATATATTACTTCCAGAAAGTAAGTGTGAATTTAATGATGGGTATTAATCTTTCTGTTTCATATTAGATATTCTTTTTGGGAAGTATAATTTTTTAAGGGGACATGTAATTATTATAGTGTCCCCTTTAAAAATTACAAAGCTACCATTTCAAGTTTAAATAGAGGGAGGGAGCATTAAATTGGAACCTTTATCCGATTTTAATATAATTTGTATTACTTATAAAAATCTTGAATGGATAAGTGTGAATTTAATTATGGGTATTAATATTTAATTGGAAATTTTTCCAAATTTTTAGTGTCATTAATTAATAGAGATCATGATAATTAATCATCTTTAGTTTAATTATAGAAATAATAGTTTACTGTGTATAAAAGTATGAAATGAGTCCCTAATATAAGGGTGTTGAAGTTTAATGATATCTTCTGTATCTTTTAAAGTGAATGGTGAAAGTTAAGCCTTCATAGATGCAAATGAGTGTGTGTATGAGTTTCTTGTAAAAAAAATATATATAAAAAATGCAGTGATATATGGACCTAGAAAATTATATGGGGGCAAACTTATATAGTGGAGTTTTTCAGTAATTTTAGCTGAGGCAATTTCAAAATCTTATAGGTATATAATGCCGGAAATTTTTTTTTGTATTAAGGATATCAAATTAATGAATTTTTGTATTAAGGATATATAATACATTATAAAGCGGTCACGTGCATTTTACGTGCAATGGATGTGACACATCATGAACTAATTATTTTGACGAAAAGATCCTTATTCATGCTCATTTTATCCTTTATAATTGATTTTATAAAAAAGAGTTAGGTTATTTGTTGTCTTTGTAAGGTTATTTTTATCAAAATTATTAAAATGATTAGTCCATTTGTCATGTGTGTTACATGTGACCACTTTAGCATCAAAATTCATCAGAGTTGGTACTTTTTGTAAATTAAGAGTGTATGATGCTTAAAAAAAAAAAAAGATGGAGGTATTTTACAACATTTTGATAGTATAAGAGGATAATTTTTCTTCACCTGAGCAATCATCATCAGAATCAAAATATCTGATAATATACTCTCTTTTTTTATAGGTAACTGATATGAGATTTTGTCTTGACAAATCCCCAAAACACTGTGCAAAACGGTCCTTTCGCACGAGTCTGGTAAAGCTCGGGTTTTTACCTTTGAGTTTGACTCTAAAGAATTGTTTGCACTTAAGAGGGTCAAACCTTAGACATAATGTTTCATGAGGCACCATGCCCGTGCTACTTGCCAAATTAATGCATTAGAGCCTCTGATATCCTTGGCAACCGCACATCTCACCCTCTTAAAACTCCGTAAGAGTACCATGATTTACTTGTTTGTTTCATGTGTTCAAACATAATTTATTTGTTTCATGTGTCCAAACATAAAACCAGTAAGGTGCAATTTTGTGTTCATAATTTATTTTTATAATTGTTTCTTTATTTTGTAGTTCTTATTTGAGAGTTCCTTCACTTCTTTACTAGACTAGTAAGAGTGGAATTTGGGTTAGCTAGAATCCAAATGAAAGCGATGAATGACAACTAGAGAGGTTATTATATACATACAAATATATAGAATGAATCTCAATTGGCCCAAGTCTTTTCCGGCAAGACTTGCGCACCACTAAAGAGTTACTTTCAAAGCAGACATGGGATAGAGCAGTTCGGCTATAGTAGAATTCAAAATTAGAAATTGCCGGGAAGAAAACCATTGTAAAATAGCCCAGAATCGTATACATCAATGTCGCACTTAAGAGAGTGAACCGGGATATTCCAATTGAAGAGAACTATTCTTGTTAATTGATTATCTTTAAATTTTTTACTATTTTCATTCCATCAAGAATGACCAAATTGCACTAAACCGCCTTCTATCAAAAAAAGTCGCTAAATATTCTCTTTTATTTTTTTTCAACAAATACTCTCAATTTTAAAAAAAAACTATAATTATAGATTACCCCCTTCATCAGATGAATTTTGAAAAATTTGGTGTTAAAGTGGTCACATGCATGTCACATGCAACGCATGTGACACATTGACCGATTGTTTTAACAAAAAAATCCTTGTTCATGCTCATTTTACCCCTTTCAATTGATTCTATAAATAAGAAGTTGAGGGTATTTGTTACCTTTGTAAGGGTACTCTTATAAAAACAAATTATTAGTCCATGAGTCATGTATGTATGGGCACACGTGACCACTTTAATACCAATTTTTTTAAAAATCAACTCTGGGAGGATGTAACTTTTACTAAATTAAAAGGGTATGTTGATAACAAAAATAAGAATAGTAGATTGTGGTATTTTACAACTTTTTGACAGTACAAGGGGTCATCTTCCTTCACTAGGCACCAAGAGTTTCATAGCATTTATTTATTATTTATTATGCATTTTTAATAATAAATTTACTTCTTCTTTTTTTTTTCTTAAATTTATTCTATATCTAATTCTTTCTTGAATAATTTTATTTTCTAATTTTATTCTCTTTCTAACTCTTCTCTAAAGAATTTAATACTTGTGGATTAGTTAATATATTAATAAATTATCAAGTTTCATAATCCCAGAGTTTTCACTGAATTAGTCCACCAAGTGTCAAATAGACCAGAACCATCAAATAATTTCTCCGTCATTATAGATTATTTATATATTTCAATTCTATGACACATAGGTATCTGTATTTTGAAAATGAATTAGGAGGCTTCCTTTATCACTCCAAACTTTTTATTTTGAAAAATTATTACATCATTCCAAACAACTGTAATGGTCCTGACATCACCCCAAACGGGATAACGAAATCGTCCGTCACAATAGAAAGAAATAGAAATCTCTGCTTTTTTTTTTCTGTAAAATTAGGTACTTTTATTTCCATAAGAAAAGAGACATGCATTTATTTATCACCAAAAGTACTTATTTTTTCAATATATAACTAGAAGATTACAAAATTGAACCCGAATTACGTTTTTAAATGAAATTCTATTGTTTGTTATGATTTGAAAAGAATTGGATTCCGAATCATTCTACTTTTGTTTTATGTTTTTAAGGGTAGAAAGAAACGATGATTATATCTAATTTATGAGAAAAAGCTATAAACGCTTCACTACTCTAGCCACCACACTAGTAAAAATGGCACTCGCACCTCTCCTGAGCTACCCTAATGAGGCTACTAACTCTTTATATAGACATGATTTTTCCTACCCAGCGGCTAGGATGCGTTACAAACTGAGGTAAACTACCCCTCTAAAATATCTAGATATTTATAAGTCTCTACAATGTTATTTATCTGAAAAAATTATTTGATATATATATATATATATCAATATACACTAGTGTATGATAAGTACATATATATTTTATAAACTACAATTAAATTTTTTTTTTTTGAAAGGTGAGTACAATTCAAGTTGATTGCAAAATTTTGAATCATTTCATTATTTCAAAAGCATACAATGAAAACTGAAAACTATGATTCTTGGTTGAATTGGTCAAATCTTCATAAGCTTGTAACTTTGTAAGACGGGCGATGAACGGGGCAGAGAATAAGAAAACGGGAGAGAGTTATAGAAAGTCTATTAGGGCCCCAAAAATTTTGTGGAGCATGTATATATAGTGGGGTTTTGTCATAATTTAGAGGGCATTTTAAAGATTTTCACAAAATTATAATATAAATAAATATATAAAAATTTAGTTGGATCCTGTTTTCTAGTCTACACATACTGCCACTTTCTATAAATCCTCCGGCATTCACAATTCTATTCCATGGTGCAGGATTACGTGGTTGGTACATTTAATTGTGTGACAACTTTTGATTGACCGGAATCATGTAATAATTTCTTCTACACAAGTCTAGAAGACTCTCAAACTCAATTTTTGAACCATATCAACCATACGTCATGCAAAGTCCTCCTTAGCGCCTGCTTGTCACCTAGGTGGCACTACCTCCTTTGGGCGGGGCATGACAAAAGGCTGGAAAAAGTCCACCATCCTGGCTGAATCCTATGATCAAATAAAAACATTTTTTTTTTTTTTTTTTTTCAAATTCATTGTCCTCTATTTTATCATACATTATGCTGAATTTACAACTCTAATGGGCTTGGCAGATTCGTGAGCTAATCTTTACATTTAGGAAGATTTAAATTTTTCTGAAACAATCAAAATATGTTCTGAATTTAAATTGTTAATTAACACCTACCACCTCCTAATAAGAATATCCTGCATAAAAAGAAAAGAAGAAAGAAAGAAATTGTCAAACCAAACTAAATTGATTCATCATAATTTCATTTTGAAGTTCTGTAACTCCATTTTGGTCTCAACCTGAAACTGTAAAATCTACTCCTTTATATAGTAAAATAAGACATTATAATTCCAGTACAACTTTTCATCTTCATCTTGTTCTACCTAAACGAGGTTGTATTTCTGACTACAAGTATAAATTATTTATCAACAAACGCCAACTCAGCCAAGTCGATTGCTCGAGCGAGACCAGCAACTTTGCTCTCGCACTCTCTCTGTTCGTCATCCGGGATACTATCAGCCACTATACCAGCACCAGATTGTAGGTAAGCAAGCCATTCCTGCCGCGCAGCCGCCTTCTTGTAGGAGTACATTGAGTCATAACGGGGTCCATTGGGAAATACCATGGTTCTGAGAGCTAGCGCGATGTCCATATCACCAGTAAACGAAATGCCTCCAAATCCACCACTATAAGGCCCGCGCCTTGACACTTCCAACTCATCAATCAACTCCATGGCCCTCACCTGCATGTCATTGCAATGATGATCAGAACAAGAGTAAACAAGAATACAGCCTGGTTATTGTGACCACGAATTTAAAATCAGTGCATGAATCACATCTAAATCAAAATTTCAAAATAGTCCGAAAAGATAAAGAAAAATTGAACATAAATTTCGAGAGAGAAGCATTGTTTCAAGGGATAGAGAGTATGGACAGAAGTGTTCTCATGTACAAATCTTTGTCAAAGCATACAAAAGGTTGATGAAATCACTTTTTTGCATCAGACATTTGACAACGCGGAAGATAGAGGTGTCGACATCATTATGCTTCACACACACACACAGATCCACACGGCCAAAGAATGGCTAAAACATGGCAGACTAATAATTAATATGTAATCTATTTTTTTACTTAATTGGTAACACACACATGCCTCCACCGAGACTCGAACCCCTGACCTCCCTTTGGGAAGTAGGAGTCTGGCACCGCTAGGCCACTGGCCTGTTGGTATACTATATAATCTATGAAAAGCCAGAAACAAGTTGGATATGAATGATAATCAAAGTCAAATAAGCAATATAACGGAACCTTTGGTGCGCCACTAACGGTTCCAACAGGCAATGTAGCTCGTAATGCATCCCAGCAAGTCAGATGATCAAGCATTTCTCCTGTCACCTGTGAATGGAAAAAGGGCAAAAAAAAAAAAAAATGGGCATGGTTTTTGTCATTAATAGTACCATGTTGCTTTTTGTAAAACATTTTAAGTATTTTTGGAATCCTCTTGGAACAAGATAAAACAATTTCAACTTCTGTAACAAAACATGTGGACATTTTTTTTAGTTTGTCTTTGATATGGGGGAATATGGGGCATCTAAATATTCACTTAGGAAATAATAATTTATGTAGAGGAAAATACATTGCTCTGAAGGAAGGAAAACGAAAAGAACTAAATCTGCATATAGGTGCAAGAAAAGTCTCACCGTTGAGCTAATATGCATTACATGGGAGTAACGTTCCACGGTCATAAGCTTCTCGACATTCACAGAACCCAATTTTGAGACCTGCAACAAATATCTGTGTTAATTAAAAGACTGGATATGCTATTATTGTTAAAGAGATAAGCTATGCCAGTTCAGGGAAAACTTGGAAGAAAATTGCACAGTTAATGCTGGCATATATAGAGGACAAGATATGTGTATTGTTGCGTGTGTATGGGTGAATAACTATATCTATCCAAGCATGTTATAGAAAGTTTAAATGCAAAACCCACACCAATAACTGTTGTTGAGATATATGTCTCAAATTCCTTTATGATAACAAAAGTTTATTTTTAGAAACTCTTGCGTCATGAAGAATTCAGACCCCCCCAACCTCACCCTCATCCAATGTGGATACTGTGCCGGTAAATCTACCACTTCTAAACAGGCACACAAGACCGGGGGGCTAACCACAAGGAAAAGAATTATACTCATGCTAAAACCCTAGAAAAGATCCTCATACGCAAGGCTGATTCTGAAAGCCAAAGAGAACAATCCCAAAAAGATATCTTTAAACTTATGAATAAGAAATTTCACCCCTTCAAAATTAAAACTACATGTCCATATAAATTTCATTTCTTTCTTTTTACACTTCATCTTTCAAAATCAGAACAACTACATTTTATAATGGAAAGAGAAACTTCATATAGTAATTCCAAAATGTATTATATGAATGATACTGGGTTGAACACTAAAAACTACTTGTGTTTTTCCCTCCATAATGCATCTTTGAACACCAATCCTAACAAGGAATAGTAGTTTTCCTATATTTAACAATAAGGTTTCATAAATAGGGAATCAAATCGTTGAAACCAAATGGCAACAATATACAAATAGGTAGATAGGTGTATGAGAGCTCAATATATAACAAGATAGATTGAAAAAGTGAAATACTTGAGCTACAATGATGCATGAGATTTCAGCAGGAACAATGCATGGGTAGACTGCTAGCTTATAACTTGAATAATTACATAATAACATCCATGTAAAGAAAAAGTTATGAGAAACCTTTCCAACATCGTTCCTTCCTAAGTCAACCAGCATGATGTGCTCAGCACACTGCTTTTGATCATTAAGAAGCTGCATTTCTTGCATTTCATCTTCGCATTGTGTTTTTCCTCTTCTTATTGTTCCTGCCAATGGTCGATTAACGACCTTCCCCTGCCAATGAGAGTAGTACACATCCTTGTTAGTCAGTATTTCACAAGAATATTTACATTAAAACCTTTACGCATGAGGATATGCAAATGTCCAAAAGCTTGCTAAATTCTAAGCCACGAAAGGACCAACCCAAGTTTTCTAGGAACCTCATATGGAAGCAATTAAAAGCAAGCATTTAATGCTTTACCTTTTTCACACGCGTCAGAATTTCAGGGCTCGACGCAACCAAGATACACCCCCTTGCCTAGTAACATGGAAATCAAATATTAAGATATTGGTCTAATACTCGCAAAATACATTGAACAACTTGATAAAGTTGGATAATTTTAGGTAGGAACAAACTTGTAAGTAAGTCATATATGGACTTGGATTTACAACTCTCAGAGCTCGGTAGACTTCAAAAGGATCAGCAAATGTTCGGCGTTCAAACCGTTGACTTAATACAATCTGGAAAATATCCCCTGCTTGAATATGCTCTTTTGCTTTCAGTACTGCATTCTTATATTCTTCTCTTGTCATGTTTGACTTCTTCAATGGAGGACCAAACTGACGTGCAGAGAACTCCACGGTAGCTGAAGCCAGCTTTGGCCTAAAATATGAGAATTTTGAAAAAAAAAAACAATATATACATAAGCATGAATGACTTAAAAAAAAAACAGTTACTGTTATACAGAAAATAGTACAACAGTTACTCACGGTTCAATATCCTGTACTTTGGATACCATTATTTCCAACCGCTTAATTCCATCAGCATAAGCCTGCTCCAGGGAGGAGTACTGATCTATCCTCACCCAATGAATCACATATGCTTTCTGAAATGCACAAATACTGCTTATCAACTTCTAAATTATGTAGACTGGTGGTTGTAATCTTTATATAGGAGAACTATGTTCCGCAAGTTTTTACCAAACATAATACAACTACACGGAAATGATTCACTCACTAGTATGCATATAAAGCAGGTGCTACATCTAAAAAGCAACTAATAGAAGTTCCTGATATACGGCAGTGACACGAGCCTCTGATCAAAATAATTTTTGGAGTACAAGAAGAAATAAGAACTAAAATAAATATTTGCCAATGTTGGGCATGCAAATGATGGATGGGCATAGCATCTAGACTTGAATCACATGTCATGTGTAAGAGCTCAGACATTTTTTAGTAGCGTAGAATACCTTCTCTACATGATCGAACACAATGACATCCTCATAGAGTCCGAGATGAATGTCTGGAAGATTTCTGTCGTCTTTTGGTGCCCTTAGGAACGGCAGTTTCTTCTTCTCCACGTAACGAACTGAATCATATGAGAAATAACCTATCCATCCACCTGTTCAGGACAGAAATAAATTCCTTGGGGTGGCCTTTAGGATAATAAATGATACATGCCTTAATAACAAAAAGATATTAGTAATTTAGTTATAATTTCTATTATTTTTCATTTTTTACAATTATAGAAACAACTCAACCAATCTTTAGATCCCACTACTCAAGTTTAGCTACTTTACATCATTCAGTTTCATCTAAGGCTTTTTTGTTCCCCACAAATTTGATGCAGCATTGCTTCTAGAGAATGCCCGCCAATTCTTCAAATTTAATCGATTTAATTTCCATGAGGTGAGTCTAAGCTTCACAATAGCCATCTACCTACTGCAAGTCTCCTTCTCGATTTTTTAAAATGTTTTGGACTCTCAACTGAAATACTTGTCTCCCTTAAAACAAAGTTATTCACGAAGCAGAATTATAGTTGGCATAATTGTGGAGTTAATCTTTGAATGCTGCTTCTTTCAAATCCTAACTTGTGTATGAGTGAGGTGGGTGAATGAAGAAAAGGATTTTGCTACTTTTTTTTCCCCGTAATAGGGGAGAACAGGTGTGTCCAATATATACGTTTGCCACATGCCCACATGTCTTAAATATTATTCAAGAAATCATGTTTCAAGTTTGAAAACTAAATGCTACAGGCATGTCGTATTAAAAATCACCATTTTAGCAATGCCAAATTATGAAGCATAGTAACAAATATAGCACGAGAACATGCCAACAAATTAAATCCTAATAAATAGAACACAGTGAGGTCACAACAGAAAGAAATATATTTACACATAAATAAAACTATATATGACAAAATTTGTCTCGTGATCGAATATTATATGGCTGTGACATTAGTTTTTGTAAAGTATGATCATAAATAATCGACATCAAACTAATGACAAACAGTTTTTCACCCGAAAAAAGCTAAACGACAAACAGTTATTTACTTTAGTTTTTTCAAAGTCGCTTTTGGTACTTCTGCTTCTGTTTATTCCAGTAATTAAAATCAACATATCTAATTATCAATCTCCAAAAATGCCTCAATTTAGCATAAAGCTAAAACGTTAATTTCTTCAATTGTCCAGAGTGCCAATGTAACCATCAACATGTACCAATAGTTTACCTAAAAGATTCTTATGTATCAGAATCAAGTAATGAAATAATTAGGACCATTTTATTATACCAAGCTCTTTCAGTTAAAATCATAGAACAAAAACTTGCTCACGAAAACATGGGCAAAACTTTTAGATGATAGTATTAAAAAATATAATCGAGATTAATCTGGAATTTAATTGTTTCCTGATGAGGATAGACCTTATTTAGGGGGAGCAGGTGTGTCCAATGTCAATGTATGCCTGCCACGCATCCTAAGTATTATTCAAGAAATCATGTTTTGCGTTTAAAAATTAAATGCTACAAGCACATCATATCCAAAATCACCATTTTAACCATGCCATTTTATGAAGCATTGAAACAAATACAGCACAAGAACATGCCAACAAATTAAATCCTTAGAAATAGAACACGGTGAGGTCAAAACACGAAAGAAATATATTTACATACAAATAAATTTATAGTATATACGACACAATTTCTCATTAGTATATACGACAAATTTGCTCATTAGTATATACCACAATTTCTCATGACCGAATATCAAACTAAATGACAATTTACCGGTAAAAAGCAATGCGACAAAAAACCGCTTTCCATACTACTTCTTCTTATTTATTGCAGTAAAATCAGTCAGTCTGCAAACATGCTCGATTAGGCATGAAGCTAAACCGACACATGCTCCATGTGTCGTTTGAAACTACTGTTTTCATGCACAAAAGAGTAGTATATAATTTAAAAGAAAATAACACATTTTTTTAAACTATATATATTTTTTCCAGTAGTAGAATCATTTGCTTTGGAAAGATTGAAGCTACATGATATATTGATCTTCAAGTACACGAAACAAATGCAATGAGAACTAACAATCCAACACAAAATAACACATTGTTTTAAAAAAAATTGATTTTCCATTAGTGGAATCAATTGCTCTGGAAAGATTGAAGCTACATGATATATTGATCTTCAAGTGAAATGAAACAAATGCACTAATAATTAACAAACTAAAATTTAAAATAGATTTATAAATGAAAATATGATCATTCAAAAGTCATATTACCGCAAAATGCATCAGGAAGTCCACCAATGAGTTGGGGTTTCCAATTCTCCGAGATACTTGTCGGAATCGTCATTGGATCATCAACAACTTCCTCTGTCCGGCGCTCATTCTCATGGTCCACTATTGTAACCACGTTTTCTTTCGCCACAATCTCCATTGCCGGATGAGAACCAACCACACTATACCGACCCTAAAACAATTAAATTCAACACTCAACAACACATGCAATGAAACAAACACAGAATCAAAGCAAAGCAAAGCAAAGTGAAAAAAGAGCTCTTACAACTCTCGAAGTTCTAAATCCGGGCTCAACCGACTCAAACAGAAAACTAGGGGTCTCTCGATCATCTTCCTTCACCAGACACCGATAAGCAAGTACCGGAGTCAATTGATCGGAGAATATACTGTGGTAGAGAGGAATTACATTTCCTTTTTTTGAAGCTTCAATGAACTTTTCTTTGTCGATAACTACAAAGAAATCAAGCCACACCATCAAAATAGTTAAAAACCTCTGTTTGATCATGAACAAAATGTTGAATAATGTAGGACATAAAACTGTTAAATCATCATATACTTATGAAGTAAAAATTTCCCCCACAACAATCGGAACCATGAGAATGGAGATTTTAAACATTTCAATTATTTTCCTGCATTTTCTCATAAAACAAACAGAGACTATACAAATCCAGTACTCTAATTCAAGAAAATAATTAAAATATATATACATGCATGTGTAAGTATATATAGATAGAGAGAAAGGGAGAGGACCTGGATAGTCAGACAGAGAACATTTGACAGTAGGGTAGCGAGCTAGAGAGACTGAACTTCTAGTGAAAATGCCGGTGGCTGAAACACGAGATAGGCCGTGAGTCGCCGAAGACAAGCAGTGAGAGATTGCTAGGGTTTCCATTTTTGGAGTTTAAGGGAGAGTGCGAGAGAGAGAGACAAGCACAGAGATAGAGAGAGAGCACCGGCGAAGATGGGAGTGAGTTGGTTTCACTCTGTTGTCTGGTAAATATAGGCCCTTCTCTCTCCTCACTCTGTTTCTCTCTCCTCTGTTTTGTCCTATACTCCGGGAATTCCGTGTTGTAACGGAAGCAACCTTAAACGTTTTGAACCATTGTGTAAAAAAAGTTTTTGTTATAATAATACCCCCAAATAAAATTTAATAAAGTTAATTATTTTCTAAAAATGAAAAATCTCTCAAATTAAAAAGGTATGAGGTGTCATAAGATGCCTCATGCAAATTTTTTTAAAGTTCAAAAATAAATTAATTATTATGAGTAGGAAGAATCTAGATGTTTCAAGCAATAGAGATTAATGACTACTGTTAATTAATGGAGATTATGTTAATAGAGATTATGCTAATTAATCATCTTTAATTTAATTAATGTAATAGGTATGAAAGGAGTCTCATTAGCACATGGGTAGGGGTGGCAAAAATCCCCAATCCGGTGGGGAACCGCCCCGCCCCTGCCCCATTTAAAGCGGGTTTAGAGAACCGTTTACTTAAATGGGGTGGGGATGTTGGTTAAAAAAAAAGCGGCCGGTTGTGGGGCTGGGGCGGGGGACTAAGATCCCGGCCCCATACCCTCCCATAATCGCCTCGTTTAATATTTTAAATTACTAATTTATCCTACCATGTTAATATATTTACTAAATTAACCTTCATACTCTCTCTCTCTAATTTTGGAAACCCTACACTTAACACTTCCATACACACATATATATATGTGTGTGTGCGCGCGCGCGCGCTATGATTGTGTTTAAATAAAAATATAATCGGTTATGGGGCGGGGGCGGGGCAAGTGGGGTGGGGGCGATTATGGGGATTAGAGGCAAAAAATTAATCGGTTATGGGGCGGTTTTGAAGGCACCAAAATTAAACGGGGGTGGGAATGGGGAATGGAAAATCAGTCCCAAACCGCCCCATTACCGTCCCTACACATGGACAACAAATCTAAATAATCTCCTACTATTATATTAATTAATGATCTCTAATTATAATTAAAGCAAATGTATTGGTGTGAGAGTTTCATCGGTGTTATTTGATAAAACAAATAAATAGATATTGAAAATTTTTAAAACTAAATTTTAAATGGTTAAACTGTAACTGATATTTGTAAATTAAGATTTTATATATATATAGTTTTAAAATGTTTAGCATTCTTCAAGAAAGTATCACAATATCATTTTAAATGCCTAAAAGCATTTTTAAACTAATATATTTAAAATTTTATTAACAATGTTGTTTAAACAAAACAAATTATTAAATGTTCAACTATGTGTATGACTGTTTGAGTTGGCATTATTTCTATTTACGAGATAATTGAACTGGTATAATATAAAATATAAGGACAATGATCCTCTCCAGAAAAGGAGAGGTCATGCACACCCATCAACTATTGAATTGAATTTTCTCACTAATAATGATGTCATATCAATAATTAATGGGTGTACAGGACCTTTCCTGATCCTTATCCATAATATAATGATACTCAGGAGTGGTTGAATTGACATAATGGTAAAACAAAACAAAATTATTAAATGCTCAATTCGGTATGAATTGGCATTAATGTTACTCGCGAGATAATTCAATTGATATAACATACTGTAAATGATATTTAGGAGTAGTTGAGTTGGCATAACACCACTAAAGAAAATGTGAAAGTCTTTTATTCAATTCATAATGCTAATATATTTAAAATTTTATGAACAATATAGTTAAAACAAAACAAAATTATTAAATGTTCAATTCTGTGTAAGAGTTGGCATTAGTGCTACTCACGTAATAATTGAACTGATATAATATAAATGATATAGTGTTATTCACGAGTACTGTATTAGCATAATCTAAGTCACATAATTATTTTTAATATGTATCGCTCTTATGCTTTGAGGGCGCTCTCACTCTTAAATTCTGTGCGTATTTTTACTCAAATTCTCATTGTTTATAATTTAATTCTGCTACTCTCACGTTTTCGTTCTCGAATTCACTCTCGCTCTCACTTTATGTGACTTAGGACATAAAATTTTAAAGTATTTTATTCAATTAATGATGCCTAAAAGTGAGGTCATTCATGAATTTGTCATTCATGTTTTCCCACCCAGAAAGTGAGGTCTTTTAAGAGACAAAGGTTGTGTGACCCAATGAAAGACGTAAGCGAAATTGTGACGACATTAGAACTTCGGACTGGCTTTTTTTATTATGTGAACTACATATCTTTCCCGTGAAAATTAAAAAAATTGTGTAAATTAAGGAAGACATATAAGTGTCATATGTGGTTATTAGACAAAAATTCGTGTAAGTTGCTTTCTATTGCATCTACGAACTAAAATAATTGCGTTTCGACTAAATTGTTGAGTCCTACTAGCAAAACTTAATTCAATTTCACGCCTTCTCATGCATAAGTTTGAATCCTTAAAAAAATTACTAGTAAATTACAACGTGTGGCAATCATTTTTGTTTTATTTTATGTTTTTGTTGTACATTAATGAAATATAAATTTTAAAATAAGTGGAGAAACTGTAGCAACTGTACAATTTATTTTTTTATTTTTTATTTTTTTTCAAAAAAGAAGCCATAAGATGTAAATACCATATGTGTGAACTACATATGTTTCTCGTGAAAATTAAAAAAAAAAAAAATTGTGTAAATTAAGAAAGACATATGTTATAAGTGTCATATGTCGTTATTAAATAGAGACTCGTGTAAGTTGTTTTCTATTGCATCTAAGAACTAAAATGATTGCGTTTCTGCCAAATTGTTGAGTCCTAATAGCAAAACTCAATTCAGTTTCACGACTTCTCATGCATAAGTTTTAATCCTTAAAAAAAGTTACTAAGTAAATTACAAGAGTGCGTGTGGCAATCATTTTTGTTTTATTTTATGTTTTTGTTGTACATTAATGAAAAATAAATTTTAAAATAAGTGGAGAAACTGTAGCAACTGTAGCGATTTTTTTTTTATTTTTAAAAAGAAGCCATATGATGTAAATACCATATTATTACCAGCAAAACTATAGTAAAGATACTCTCATTCTGCTCTTGTGGTCAAAGTCAGACTACAGCGAAGTAGTAGTAGTGAACCAAATTTGTAAGTTTGGCCCTTTGACCAAAACCCAATATATTAGGATTCAAAACCAAATATTTTCTATAAAAATAAATAAGTAAAAATAATAAAATAAAAATAAAAAATAAAAAAAAAAAAAACCTATCCAATACCGACACAAATGAGTAACCAATACTTCAAGTTTCCAACTATTGAGACTTGAAATACCTAGAGTAGTCCCCGAGTACCAATAAATGAGTGAGTACCAATAAATGAGTAATGATATTTTGTGCCGAATAGGAGGTCACGGATTTGCTATTTTTTAAAATATCTTTCTTTTCCAAGTGTTGGGCAAAGAGTACAAATCAATGCAAGGGAATCCATGATCAATTTCAAAAGATTAATTCTACTTAGGGTGAGTCATTTAGATTCATGTCTATTCTAGTATTGAGTATGCAATCACATGTTTGTACATCATGAGTCGATATAGTTCAATACTCGTACTATACAACAGGAGATTCAATGTCGACCATTTAATAATGGTTTGGTGGGTGTCATTACTAGTGTGTTTAATTGATGAACAGAATAGCCAGCTCACCCAGCCAATAAGTTGAAATCTGATGAGACTTGAGAAGTTGGAAATGCACATGAGCTCCTCTTGGTTGCTGGCAATTTGATATAGACAATGCCCAAACAAGTGATGGGTTGGGCTTAAAAGCATTGCTGTAAAAACAGATTAGCTTTTAAAACAACCTAACAAAGCTCAGTCAGATTCAACAACCAAAATTTCCTTCTCAAGACCTAATCTTACTTGTAGGGACTGATCACAACCAAATGGTCATGTTTGTGTGTAACTGGCAATCACCAAACCTCCATTTGACAATACCTTGTAATTGGGATTCAGAACCATTTTTGTGCAAATCCTTTTAAAAGTTTCAACAATTTCCTTCTGCTTCTTGGTGCTTGGATTGTCTACACAGCCAAGAATCCCCTACTTTTCAGAAACCAAATACCGAAGAACACCAACCCTTTCCACACTATCAAGTGGTTATGAATATAAGTTTTAGACCCTTCTTCCCATGTGCCTCATCAGTTCCATTTTCACAGGAAGCAGAACGTTAACTATAGGAGGCAAAATGGTTTTCGTAGGTTTGTATCAATCAGCCAAGTAGCAAATGAAAGCATCCCGTTCCATGGCAACAATTAACCAGGAGGAAGAGAAAAGAAAACATCTCATGACTTGGAATTTTCCAGTATTCTAACTATTGAGCTCTGACATAGGCAAAATGCAGTTAAAATGACCAAAATAATGATGCCATAGGTAAATTTTAATTCTAGTTTGACCTTAATTCAATATCAATTCAACATCAGAAATGCAGTTATATATCAGGACAAATTACCCCTTTGTTTAGTTTCTACGGTAGACTACCAAAAAACAGGGTGCCATCTACTTGGCAGCTTGTTCGTTTCTTCCCGTTATGAATACCTTTCCAAATGTCTGAGTTAGCCAATGCTGATAAATTTAATCCAAGTTCATCTTATTTTAAGAAGAGGCTCTCATTTATGCAGCACTGCACTTCAGGATAAGGATAAAAACTTGTTGATTTCATATGAATTGAGGTATAATAGAAGCTTGGTTATTTTATTTCATTAAGTGAACCAAGTAGATATAACAAAATCCTCTTTTTGAAGAATTATTCTCGCTACAAAAACATGACGTAAACCTAAGCTACTTTACAAACCAGTAGGTATATTAGAGTCACCTTCTTGGGTAAATCTTAGTAGCATGGACCCTCAGATATCTACGAGAAAGTTTTAAGGGGTGTATATGTATTGTGCCATTAGAAAGTTGCGATGGCTTCACTTGTAAAAGGGATGGGGTATGGTAAGCATACCAGCAGTCCAAAGACCAAAACTCCAATTCCAAGGGCAACATACTTGTTGTCAGGATCAGTGATTTCATCAGAAAGTGGAGCAATCGGCCCTCTCTGCAAGAAGAATAGCAGAACTACCCAATAAAATGCCACATCATTAAACAAAGAGGATAGTCCAAGCAGCGCAATGGAGGCAGCTGTGAAGCGAGCTGAAGCCTGCCAAAAAAAAAAGGGATCGTATTAATGCTCTTTGTGTTTCATTTCCATTCCTTCTTTCTTTCTCCTCTCTCCCATCTATGGTTTCAAAATAAAGGCAGATTTTCCAAGGGTTAAATTCAGGTGGTTCACAATGAGCCACTCCAATTAGCAGACTTGATTTCAACATGAAGTTCCTGTTCAATATACCACAAGTGGTGCACAAGCAATGCTCATGATCATAACCCAAAGTTTGGAGATCCGAGAGGAAGAGCAACAAACATGGGAGTGTAATAAGTGGCATGGGTACTATGTGGAATAACTGAAAGATTGGTCTGTTAACTACCCCTTAAAGTATGAAGGTCGCTTTGCTTTTTATATAGTAATGGATATAAGAAGCTCTTTATGATATACCTTTCTTCCCCATATGGCGAAAGAAATTCGTCCTCCGTCAAGCTCCCCTGCAGGGATGCTGTTGATGGCATTAATGAGAAGTCCAGCCCATGCCCATATAACAAGTGGATTGACAGATAACGGAGTGCCTTCCTTGAGAGCATCACCAAGAAGCAGCTTTGCTATAAATGAAAAGATAAGTTATTAGACTCACATTCTCTCAATTTTAGTATAGGAGAGTCCAAGTAAAATGAGAACTCCTTGTTATCCCCCCACCACCCAAAAAAATAAAAAAAGAAGGGAAGTGTATGGAGGAAGATGAGTTCCATCAACAGGATGAAATGCTGAAAGAGGGAAAACTTCCATTATGAGTCCCCCCCCCACCCCCCCCCCCCAAAGAAATAAAGAAGCACAAAATTCTGCAGGCAAAGCATGTGTGCAACGAAGTGCTTACCTATACCACCAGCAAGAAGTGACTCGTGAAACACAGAAGCATCAACTACAACACCAATACCATCACTAGGTGGCAAGAAGAAGCCTAAAAGTAAAAGAACAAGACCCAAGGAGAAACCAGCTAATGGTCCTGCTGCTGCAACCTTCAGAAGATCCTCACGCTTGGCTACAATGTTTCTAATCCTTGTAATAGCACCGAAGGAGCCTATCTGCAACCAAATGGCTCATTAGACTTGACATATTCATTCAAATAAAACAAAGAACAGATCATCAGGCATATCCATTAAGAATCTCGGATTTTGATCGCTAGCTGCATTTTCTAATTGCTTGGTGCAATGGTAAGAGCTCAAATTGATGCGCGAGGACGTACGTTCAAGGTTTGAGAGCAGTCACTTTGTGCAAAATAATGCCATCCCCTCCTAGAACCACATATGGGTAGTACCATCGTAAGGTAATATTAGCCTATATGCACTTTATTTGGCAATCCTAGCAATTCGTGCAAAACTACACTGTCCAAATGTGGCGTAGGATGTTGCAATTAGTGTCCCAAGGACTACAAAAAAAGAAATTCTGGACAACACATGTTCGATATTCAAAGAGAGAAGAGAGAGAGAGTACACGTTTATCATTAGATTTCAATCAAGCAGCCACTACATATCTTTCTTCCTTATTGGTACCTAATGTATCTATTAGAAAAATGTATCATGTGTTTGCATATTCTGTGAGCAAAAGTTTATATGTCATGTCAATTCAGTGGAATGTTCGCATCAACATTGAAGTAGTGGTTGTAGATTGAAGGCTGAGCTGAAAGATCGCGTCGACATCTTACTTCAACCTTCATCAATCACACAACATAAAGAAGGTAAGTCACCTAAGAGGCAATCTGATTCGGAGTGAATAAATTAGGAAGCTTGAATTAAGTTGAATTTAAATTTAAAACTAATTATTATTTGGTTTTGATATAATTAAAAATTTAAAGTTGAATATCATCTTTTGCTTGGAATTAATAAAATAGGGAAGAGGGGGAGTGTCTGGTTAGACCTCCAGTCAATGGGGCAGATTCGGCACACTAAGTTGGAGTACCTGCCTAATCCACGTGAGGCTCTGCTGGGCTTCTGGACCTGCTGGGGAAGCACAAATACTGGGACACCCCACAATTGATGACCTCTTTGGTGGAAATGGGGTGATGAATCCATTTGTCGATCCACTAACAGACATTCCTGATTAAAGGGATAGATCGGAATGAACATATTTTCGCTGTAGCTAATATTAGAGACGAGGCTCGTTGAAACTTCATTAGGAATGAATTTGGAAACCTTAATGTTGGTTAAAAAACTTTGATTTTGCGTTTTAAGTTGAAAACCAATTAAAAAGTTGGTTTCTGTAAGGATTTCAAATAAGTATTGAGCTCTGTATCTTTGTAAAAAAATTAAAAATAAAATATTCAGAATTTCATTATGGTCTTTATATATTCTAAACTAGACTCCATAAGCAACAATATATTATATGCCTAATTTCAAGTCTGTATCACCCTTTAACTAAGCGTCTGAAGTCAGGATATGTGCAGTCAGGTTCAGCAGAAAAGATCGATTGATCGAATCTGAATCTCAATCGATTAAAGTTAATTCAAAGTAGCTCAACTGAAAGCTCGATTGATTGAGGAAAATCCAAAAGGTACTGACCGATACATCAGTCGATCGAACGCAAGCCCAGAGTTGGTAAAATAATGTTTTGGACGAGTATTGAAAAGTTCAAGTCTGAAAAGCTTTCTGAACTTTTCAAAAATCATCCAAAACATTCCTAATCATTTTTTAGTCACTCCAGCACTAAAAAAATGTGCTCTAGGGTTCTCTAAATATGAGCATAACACAAGAAACACGATTACACGTGTAAGAGAGATAGAGAGCTTTATTTTTCAATCACAAGTGAGGTACTTCATAGAATACCCTATGATATTGTGTGAGTGAATTCTAAAGTAAGCAGCTTTGAATACTTGAAGATTGATCAACCACAAGACCTACAAATCAAAGGATTGAATGACAAGTCATTGGAGATCAGATCATGGATAGGAGAAGCGGATCGCGTGAAGCGGGTCGGCTGACAGAGCAAACATACTGTGCCTAGAGTGGAGAGTTTGGTGGATTAGTCTGGATCAAGAGGTAATGAGGAGTCCTAGGGTTTGGGAACTGTTAACCTAGTATAAATCTCTTTCTCAAAGTGGATTTGATTTGCCTAGATTAAGTCCCGTAGTTTTTCCACGTTGGAGTTTTCCACTAAATCTATGTCCTTAATTTACCTTACTTCATTGCTTTGTGATTTGGATAGTTTGATATATGATGTTTGCATAAGCATGATTAATTAGTTGGTTAAATTGGTTAAAATTGAAATTAATTAAAGATTATCAAAGTGTGTAAAAGACCTATTCACCCCCTCTGGGTCTAATTGGATATAGCGTATTCTAACATACCAGAACCTCAGGTCACGGTCCCTAGATTTTTGAGTTGGTATTAGAGCATACTAATTGTAGACTTTAACAACATCTAATGTAGAAGGAAAGTAGGAAGAAAGAAGGAGAGGACAAAGGAGAAGAAATAGAAGAGTAGAGGAGACAGCGAAGGAAGATAGCAAGAAGGAAGAAAATCTCAAATGCTTAATGGTGAGTTGATTAGTAGTCTAAAAACCTATTAGATCAACCCCTATATATAAGCAAAAACAATATATTCCTAAGCAAACTCTACTAAAATGACCATAAAGCTACAAACACACACAAGGGAAAAAATGGAATTCCTCCCCCTCTAAAATGACCTAATGCAGAAGAACAAGACATTCACCTGCCAACTAGGAACGAAGTATGGCGCTCCAAGCTTTATTCCAGAGCTTTTTGCAACTAAGATGTGGCTGATTTCATGGACCCCCAAAACAAGTGCAGTTACTACGAAGCCAGGAAGACCATCCTTCAACAAGTCAAGATTGTCAAAAGTTGATCTGGACATCACAATATAAATATTTAGTTTAAGTGCTGACAATATAATGAATATCGACTTTTTAGAGAAATTATCAAAATGCAAAGTGTGTGCTAACACTTAACAACTTAGCAACCATGAAAATAAGTATTATTGTTCCACGAGAATCGTTAATGAAAAACTTCACTGACACATTAAGAAGCAAGATTTTGATAAAAGCAACAACACAAATAGGGGAAAGACTACTCCCTAGAGAAAGGAGAGAACAAAGGGAAACATTTAATAGGCTGGTGGAATATTTCTTGCTCAATGGAAGTAAGCTCATGAACATGCCTGAAGGAATGATATATTTGCTAAAGATCACCAACAGACCAACACCTTACAGAAAATTATCCTCAAACTCTGAAGTGGCCAGAGAAAGACATTTGACACACTAACAAAATACTATACTCTAACAATCACTAACATACCAACTGTAACAGCTTAAAAAAATTTGTCCTCGGTTCTGGAGTGGCCAGAAAAAGACATTTGACACAATAACAAAATCTAATAGAACATGTATTATTATTAGCAACTACCAAAGCTAACGTATTGTTATTATTGTGCTACTCCTTAATGAGGTCAAAGAAAATAACAGTTCTTTTATCATTTTTGTTTTTTTGCAAGGTCAAAAGAAGATAAAGACTTTGTAGTTGCTAAAAAATGGAAGGAAAAAAAATAAATAAAAAAACTAGAAGATAAAGATAGAACATGAAAATGAGCTACATACAGTAAGCTTGACTGCAGTGCAGGCACATTCCTCAGAAGTAAGGTAAACACTGTAACTAATCCAAAAGACCCTGCTGCAAGCCACTCTGGAACGGCTGCAGAAGTTAAATCAAAGGATTGCAGTTCAATATATTTTGCTCCAAATACGGAATTTAAGATGCACATTGTCAGATGATGGGAAATCCTTGCAACAAAGATACAGAAGAATCCACAATAAAAGAGCTAAATAACCACCTGTCATTTCTGCCTATTAAAAAATGACAAGATATTACCAGTTGTACTACTTATCAAGAAAATATAATATAAAAAATAATATATAATATATAAATTACAAAAAAAAAAAAAAAAAGAGAAAACATAACATATATAGATAGATAGATATACCTGCTGTTTCTGGTTGTAAGGTCTTTCTTGGGACCACAACTGCCACTGGTTTATCATCCTCTGGATTGATTAAAAGGAAAAGCTTATATTGATCCCCAAATTTGTCCTGCATATAAATGTGCATAAATTGGAATCATTTCTAACCTCAATGATAAAACCTTCCAAAATTCAAATGAAAACTTGCAATACCTACCTGCATCCTCTCTGTTATTTTCTCATAACTTCTAGCAGCCTGCCCTCGCAGGTTTCCTTTAAATAATAATCCACCCTATTAAAGGTAAAAAAAAGAAGTTCATGAACCGCACTGTCAAATGGTAACAGATTAAGCCATACTAAACAAAAGAATACAGTTGATCATAATTCTAAACAACTGTTGAGTAGATATTATTGACTAAATAAAAATTGTCAGCCGTTCTTTTATCTCCTAATTCAAAGCGTACTCCATGAAGATCAACAAACATGACAAGACTTTCGAAGTGCAATTATAGAAGTGGTTAGTGGAATGTTGGATTCTAAATCCATATGTCCCTCCCCTTATTAATGCATACCATTTAACAATTTTCCTAACTTCCAGAAGATCTTGCTGTTGCCCCAGAAAAGGTGGTTAATACTCTGGTAACTCTATTTCTTAATCCAAGAGAATAAGGCATAGATTTAAAAACTCACCTCGTATGGCTCCTGACTTGTCACAAAAAAAGTGTCAAAGCCAAATACTTGGTCCCTAAAAATTTCAATGGTTTCCTTTGGGATCCTCATTGGTTCATCGAGTTGCTGTGGCTGTTCATGGAAATGTAGATAGCAAAGAGGAAAGAAAAAATAATGAAAATGTAAGAACGTACACAAAGAAAACAAACAGTGAAAATGACAAATCAAATACAAAAAGACTACAAATTATTATTTATTATTGAGATACATGGAGTAATGAGGAACTGATGCTAGATAATTCCATATATCTCAGACTTTACAACACATCACAGCTTGAAACATAATCACCTTCACACCTGGCAGAGGTGATCCACTTGCAACTTCTACATTATCACCATCCTGTAACACAAAGTGAACTCCATAAGGATAAAATTTAAAACTCCGCACAATAAACGAAACCCGGGTTCTTTCATTGTTCCCTAACAGTAATGGGAAACCTGGAAAAAAAATAATCAACCTTCTGAACAATCATTGTCAACTTTCCAGCATTATTTTTTTTTTCATTAAACCATCACCAGAAGCTCAAGATTTGTGGTGGGACTTGCATACCAAACCCCCTTAGAGTTGTAGGGCACACATAATTATTCAAGAAATTAATTTCATATTGACTTGATTGCCTACAACAAGAAGTAATTCCATTCACGATGCATGAAGTACCTCCATGCTACGTTGAGCGCCAGTTTCCATGCCACCTTGAGCCCTAGTGTCCGTGCCATTTCCATTTACAAAGTTGTTGGATTCAAATGTTCCCATATCCTTATCCTAGCAAAGAAAGATGTCCTTGTAAAAATCCGAACGATAAGCTTCCAATTTTCAAAGTCTAAAGAAGGAACAAATAATTCATCAAATCCCAATGTTACTAATCAACAACCGTGGTCTCTGGATTATTTTGCACAACAGATTCAGCGGACGCTGGCATTTGCCCACCTTCTTCTACTTTATTTTCCTAGAAAATTCGACAACATATTCAAAACTAAATACAGGCACACTGTCTCCACATACATGCACATGAATCTACATAATGTATACATCATAGAGGCATACTGATAAATAGTGTAAAATTAAGGTAGCAAACCACTCAAACTTCAAAATACCTTATCATCGTTGCTTTCTGGCTCTGTCTCCGTCTCAGTCACTCTGCATACAACCTCTCGCTTCCTCCGAAACTCTAACCTAACACCGTGATTTTGAAAATAAGTATAGCAATTGGTGCCTTGGTATTGGAAAATGGACGAAAATTAGTTTAAAGTTTGAACTGATTTTCTTTCAATTCCAATTCAAAGCATTCCACACTATCAATCGCAACGTGTGCGTGAATGTGCGTATATATATTGAAGTGTGACTAGAACAATCTCACAATAAAGACATACAAATATATATACATATATATTTATATATTACCTCGAAAACTGTTTTGTGCTTAAATTGGTTCGTTGTCTTCGGGAAACGACCAACGAAGTAATTGCCGGCTGAAAATGGAGGTCGCAGCAAGAACTGCACTGCGATAATGGAATGAAATTGCCGCGAATACTCGCCAATAAGTTCATGTCTTCTCTAGCGTCGGCGATGAGTCTATGTTAAAGCAAACGACATTGAATCTTTGAATCTAGGGCTTTAGAGGGTTTTGTTCGAAGATTTGCGCACAAATTAGGGTTTTTTGGGGGGATATTGAAGAGTTTGAGAGGCTTAAAATCTTATCCGGGCAGTGGAGTAATGAACTGACGACGATGATGAAATGGAAATATCTGTTTCTTTGTTTGTTCGTTGCTTTGAGATTATACCCGCCCATGTGTTCTCTCCTCTCTCATCGAAAGGGTAACCTCGAGAAGTCAATAATTATATGACACGTGTACTGAGTATAAGCATTTAATCGTTTGGGCGCTTGGGCCGGGGCTTCTCTCTAGCTTGTGGGGGTGTGGGCTCACATATGTGGGCCGGAACCCATCTATGTGAATACCCAGCATCACCACGTGACCACTGGTCCACAGGATTAGTATCTTTCTTTCTTTGTATTTTCTTAATTCTTTGATAAATTAGTGTTCAATAGTATACAGTTTTGCTATGTTTGGGAGTAGGAATAGTTCTCTCGAGTCTGACTTGAAGAAATTGAGCTAAATTTTCTTTAATTCCAAATTTAAAAAGCTGTTTTGGCACTTTCAAATGCAACGTTAATGTATTTCATCAATACACAAGTCAATTTTTGCTTTGAGAAATGAAAGAGTACGATTGATTCAGAAGAAATTGAGTTGTGACTTTTGCACTTTAGAAGGTAAAGAAAATTTATTACACTAGAGTTGTTAGTGGTATTTGAAAACATTTTTATAATTAAAGAATATTTAAAATTGTCAAACTCCAAGTGTTCAATTTAAAGAGTAGAGACTCGGAAAGAAATTGGTTATTGCTGTTCTTCTCAGAAAGACCTACAGATATATCCAACAAAATGGGTTAAGATATTTAAAAAATATAAGAGTGGTATAGTTTAATTGAAAATATACCTCAGATTGAGTCAAATGGTAAAACTAAAACCAAAAAAAAAAAAAAAAAAAAAAAATGGTAAAACTAAATTCAATCATAGTTGAGAAAAGACTTCGTTGAGTTTAATTATAGGGATTATCAGCTATTTGAATAATGTGAAAGAAACTATCACCTAGAAATGCAGTATGCTCACAAATATAAAACCTTTGGTTTCAAAAAATCCATTATCATATCGCCCTCCCAAAAAACAAAAAAATAAAAACAGTGATGACATCCCCAACCAAACATTCTAACCATTTCATCCTTTCAAATTCGTGCACTTTATAGTCAGAATCATAGCAAAATAGAACATAGACAAAATAAAGGAAAATCATTAATCAAAAGGGTAAAAAGCTCCAAATTTTCTATTCTATTGGGATATCTAATAAGAGAAACAAGAGTTCATGTCAAGCAGCCTTCCTATGCAACTACTAGGTACAAAAACTACACGCTGCTTACACACACACCACCAGCGCAGAGAGAGACTTCACACATTTTCAGACTACACATATGGTGTTAGTTGTGTTGCTGGGGCTAATTGCACAAAATCGTCAGCCTCGTCATCACTGCTGCTGATCCACCCATAGCAAGGCTTACGCCTACGGGGGGTTGGAAGACTGTTGACTGGTGATGGAGTGGGGACAACCGGTGGAGGAGAGTAAATCGGAATGTCGTCAACATGAATTCCACCTCCAACATTCAAAGCAAAAATGCTACTGACATTAACAGTTCTTTTCTGACTGTAGTTTCGGTCCTTTCCATCTCTTTTAGATAGCGTTTCAGTTCGCAGATGACGCTTCTCACCTTCTGCAAAACAGGAGAATTTAAGAATGCATTCTTGTTAAATGTGTTTAGTTCTGATATGCTCCATTTGGGAATGTCCTCTTGTAGAATATAGAAAGAGTGAAGAACCACCATGAAATAGCTTGAGGAGGTTGAGGGTTCAAGTCCCAATTAGGACAAAATGGGTGTGTGAATGTGTCTTAACTATTAAAAAAATAGAAACAAGGAAGAACATGTGATCGGTTGTCAATCAAAGTTGCATTTCTGCTATGGAAAAACCTCATGCTATCAATTTTTCAGACAGAAAATGGTTTTTACCCCAGCACAATTGCCTTACGCTGCAAACCAACCAGCTAAGGAAGGCTGCTTTGTTTGAACCCAAGAAAAATGAGAAAAGGAAAACAGTTACCGCCTTCAGTGATCGGTGCAACAGTGTCCACGACCTCAGAGCATGTAGGTGCAAATCCTCCTGAGGGTCCAGCAGCAACTGCTACAGCATTGCCTCCAGCTATACATTCTTGCAATGACTCATCCTACAAAAAAAGTAATTACGTGTTAGAAAGTAGCCAATGCCATTAACATTTTATCACCAAGAAATTTGTTACAGCCGCAACCTAAACCATGTGAAACATCTTCAACCAACGATTGTTATTGAACATTAAGGTAACCTCACAATTCAGCTTGTGCTGTAAATCCTTCTATCTAACAAAATAACCATATATAGTAAGATGAAGGACATTAATTTGTTCTCTTTATGTATAGGATTCTAACCGAGTATGAACATACAGAAGTGTGAAATGTGGTTAAAAAAAAAAAAAAAGTGAACATAAAAATGCTCAGGTAAGATTAGGGTACCATCCAAATGCTCAGTTAAGAAATTAATTATTCAAAGATCCTGTTCCATGACAATAAATATCAGAACCGAAAAGAGTTACAAGCTTCTAAATCCAAATCTATTTTCGATTGAGTAAGCTGATCCAATCAGATGAAACTTAAATAATGAAGTACTTATATATGCGACGTACACATTATAAAATAAATATATTAAGATATAAATGTATCTCCAGGTTGAGAAGTCAGCATCCATATCACTGTGACAACTTAACTCAACAAAGCCCTTTCTCAACTGAAGTCCAACTCCTCGAACTCCTAATAGCAACTAATATAGTCTCTTTAACAAATAGTACTCCAAGATCCAGGAAATGTAGATTATTCCAAGAATCAATTTCTCAGCTAAGTAATAGATAACAATCCATGCATTTTGAACCACATTTGATCTATTGGAAGGCAAACACACCAATATTTATACGTATATTCCCTTTTGCTATTTGTATAAGCCCTTTCTCTAATTTCTTTGCTTCTTTAATTCATCAAAAGGAAATCAAAGTGCCAATTTTTAGGAATTTATTCACCATTAAAACGTTTTCTTTTTTCTCACTTTTGATTTAAAACTATAATCAGCTTGGCAGTCCAAGTTAAAGCAATCAAACCAATGGTTTACCCAACTGTGACTTGAAAATCACTAACCAAGAATTTTATTAGGTGCATCAAGATAAGCATCATCATAAACTCAGAAAGAAACCTAGGAATGCTATTAATTGCAAGTTAAGATTCTAATCCTTCTTCCCACAAAGTTAGGCTCAATTGTAATATGCACACACCCATTCCCATTAAATTATAAGCCGAATCAAGTATACTCATTATGGACTACCATCACTACTTGGCACAACCATCCAATTGAATAATCAAGTGATAGTGGTTGGTCCTCGCAGCAAATGGAAATATATAAACTTTTTAAAATGATATTGTCCCAAAAGAAGCATATCATTCAGCATCGTGTTAGTCGAATTTGTTCGTTGAAAAAAGAAGTTATTAATTTGAGGAATTTTTTTGTGCCAATTCTCCAAAATAATTGAGAGTAAATGTTCAACTACAGATCCTCTTCTTTTTTACAAATGGTAATCATTTATGTTTCTTAATATACGAAAAAATTATCATCTATCGTACTAGACATTTTATAGAAATCTGATTTAAGAAACAAAATCTTGAGAACGACTTAAGAAACTTCCGCAATCAAATACCTTTTCAACCTTTAAAGAGTTGATGTATTTAAAGATAGGGACTGACAAAAATCAAGTAAAAAAAAAAAAATTAAGTGTCCAATCACCCCCATTGATCCCAAAATTCACACGGACGAAGTTGACCATGGAAAATAAAATTGTTGATGCATATAATATAGAAACCTTTTGAGGAAAATGCATCAATTGATGCATTTAGTGTCAATATACCCTATTTCATGCATTAAAATAATTTATGCATGAGAGTGCTCTTTGGATAGGAAATTTATAATGAAAACCAAGCATTAATCAAAAACCATCTTTTCGTATTTGTCTTATAATAATCATGAACAATGACATGAACACAACTTGACAGATCAAACTTGACCAGATTCATGGAATCATTTTTATGAATCTTTTGGGATGCCCAACACTTCCCCGCACAAAATCAAGTCCCAAAATTTAACTTTGGTTAACAAAGATGTCAAAGACTAATTACAGGGTTGCTATTCAAAAAGGCATTATCAAAAGTTACATTTCAAAAACAAAAATGAATTCCATGCTCAAAAACCATTTTTCACAATATTGTTACAAAAATATTTTTTTTTAGTTGACCTTGTTAAACGAAATAGATGCTTAAATTACATCAGACCAACTTGTGCATTAACTAATTTGAGGTAGTCCAATCATACCAGAAGCACATAAGGCTTCAGCAAAAAAGATAATTTCTGAGATGGCCCATGGAAGTGCTAAACAGAAAGCACAAAAAAGTAGTAATACAATCACTGTAAGCACAAAAGAAGTAATAGATAGATAAAAAGGAGTTGAGAAGAGATAAAAAATAGTTAAGTTGATGAACGGAAAAAACATGAGTTAATTTATGTTAAACAATAAAACGAGAGAGAGAGAGAGAGAGAGAGAGAGAGAGAGAGTGAGTGAAAAGAAAATGCTAGGGGCTTCAAAATAAAAGGGGTTCATTGCTTCAAAGCTGCATCATTACAATAAAAAACAGTGGCTGACATAAAATTAAAATATATAAGAACATAAGAAACAAAATTCTATGTATCTAGTTTGAATTTAATAATTAAAGGCTAAAAGTTGACTGGATAGGTTTACTGTGCTTATCAACAAATTTGTAAATAGAAGCAAATGCAAAATGCATGAATGCATATTTTTTCCCGAGTCTTGTCATATAAGGGGTCCATGCCAAGGCCGATTTTCGGCCACAATACATAATTCTTATGCCCATTCTTTAGGTAAATAAAGAAAATCCTTCTAGAAGTACCTAACAGTGTCAAACAGCAACAAATGTTATCAATAGGAATAAGTGAAAACATATATTAGTTTCACAGGCATATGGAAGTAGGAATGGACAACAAGAAAACAAAAATGTATCATATGAAACAAAGTGATTAAATTGACAATAAGAAACCACATCTACATCATGAACTTGTATGAATAATTAAATACATCACCACCAAACTATGATGGTTGCTTTTACAAAAAAGGGTAAAAAGTAGGGAAATTTTGACTGGTATTTTTAATCAAAGCAAAATAGATAACGTTGTGGTTGATAATTGAATTGTATGTCAACCTGGACTCATCATTGTCAAGTCCTAAAAAAAATATAAATGTTATTGCACCGTGGTGAATTAATTAATCCCTCGTTAGAATACAAAATCTTCCTTAACAAATGGACTTCCTTATTCATTATTCAAAGAGGCAGCAATGCAGGTTATTGGTAAAAATTAGATGCAATATTCTTGAATAGAAAAAGTGCTTCATCATACATTTCAAGGTCATAGAGAAAGCTACTCGTTTATGTAGAGTTTGCTAGTGGATTGGCAGAGCACTAATCATGCCAAGTCTAGATGGTCTTGATACAAACCCTTGGCAAAAAGTGTTTGTATGGGACTAATTGTTTTGCGGTTCCATAGATTTGGTGCTTATTTAAATTCATTTGGTGATTGTTAGATGACTAATTAGCAAATTTATTTGTATTTGGGAAAATCAATGCAAGTACTATCTCCATTACACATACAAGGTACCTAATTGTCTTTGACCACTAATGTAAACCACCAGGGGCAATCCATATACACAATACATAGAGTCTTGTTCTTCCATCAATTACTTTTACCATATATTTTTCATTTGCCAAAACTGCAATTTGGATTTCTTTCAGCACAACACTTCAACTGAGATAAGTGGCTTTTGTTAATTTCTAAAGTACAATGACTATTCTGTATACTTCCTTTATCGACATGATTTTACCCTCCTGAGAAACAAATAACGCCTAATCTTCTGTTTGGTAGCCAGGAAACATAGCAATGAAATATTCAAATACAGAAAATGAGGCATTAAAATATAATGACAAAATTATAATACCTTCAATACAATTTCCTGTTTGTCACATTTAAGTTCCTCTTGTTCACGTTTCTCTTGCTGATCAAGGATGGTTTCAATGAGAAGCTTATAGGCATCCCCTTCAATAAAAGCCCACCCGTCATCACCACCATACTCCTGCAACAAAACCCACCTTTTTGTCACGTATTGCAATAAACCCATTCGTTTGGTTTCTGAGAAAACGTAGCAGAGGCGAATCAAAACAAACTCCACTCAAGTACAAAACCAGAACACCTAATTAGCTTTAGAGAGTAGACAAAACGATTCTAATATTGGCAATCAAAAAAATTAATAAATAAAATATCTGATTTGTAAGAATATGCGATAGTATTTTCCTTTAAAATTTTCCTCGGCTTTCTCGGCAACCATGCAAGGGTTTTAGAATAGAGAACACACAAAATTCACCTTGAGAAGACCTTTCGCTGTTTTGCGAACGAGATCTTTGGGGAATCCAAGTTGATTCATGGCGTCAATTGCAGCGTCCATTCGCGTTAGACGCCGCTGCAACATTGGGAGAACTTGTGAGAAAGCAAAACAGAGAAGAAAATGCAAGAAAAGAGGCGAGAAAGTGTGGGAAAATGCGAGAAATCAACGAAGCGAACCTTTCGAGGTCTTCCTCTCGGAGCCATTGTTCAGACTTCGTACTCGGGTAGAGTAGTCTCTCTCTCTCTATATATATATCTAAAACCGCAATAATCAGACTCTGTTTTTCTTTTGTGTCTGTTGTTTTGCTTGAAATAGGACTAGAGACGAAGAGTCACACCGGACAATTAATTGCAGCGGAAGATCCCGAGAGAGGCAATATGCATGCGTCCTGTGTAAGCTGTATGTTTAGAAGGATTATTTTATTTGCCAAAGTTTATTTAATCGAGTCATCTTATTTACTTTTATTTTTAGTTTTTCAATACAAGAACTATTAGGGAATTAATGGTTAATTGTTGGAGGGGATGGAGAGGGTTCCAACACGGCACTTGGATGAGTCATTTACTTTAACATTGAAATGGAGAGTCGATCCATCAACTCAAAAAATTTATGTTACTGGATAAGTCTTTCTTGTGGCAAAAAATATAAAATATGTAAGTACACCATATAATTGATTAATAAATATTTTATAGCAAAATATAGTCTTTCTTGTGGCAATCTCCTCCTCCACTTGAACTCGAAACTCTGCTCATCCGATTAAAAAATGGGCCTGATTCTTATACTAATTTTAACGTGCAGAGTGTTTTGCAATTTTACTCAAAATTTTAAGCTAAAGCTAATACTCAAGTCTCCTCTTACATACTCGTTCACTTTTTCTTGGGATCCGATATGAAACACGGCTCCTTGTAAAGTTATCCGAATGCATATTGATAGACAAAGTTTGGACTCCATTCATGTTCGAGACATTGGGGGAATAACAACCCGTTTGGCAATGTTTTCCACTTTAAAGCAATGTTTTCCACTTTAAAATGTATTCAACGCTATTTCGAAACTTGTTTGGTTACGTAAATTTGTTACAAGATTTTTGGAAGCAAAAACATGAACGCATGTTTAGTAAAAAAATTTACAAAGTTTGAAAAATTGAACAGCTAGTTAAAAATGTTAATTTAGAGAAAAAAAATTTTAAAAAATAATAATAATAATTGAAAAGTATTTTGCTACAGTGCGGAAGTAAACAAACGTATCATTTTAATGCTTCCGATTTTGGCATCAATTTTGAAAACACTTCGGTATTATTCAAATGACACCAAATGTTATCAAACATGTTTCGTATTTTTATTTTGTTACAGTACACTAGCAAAAGCAAAAAATACGAAACAAAATAATAGCCAAACGTGCCAAAAGGTATTATGTGTGTGTATATATATTATGAAGCGGGTACCTTATGTTCATAAATTTTGGTAATATATATATATATAATGAACATCAACCGGAATAAATATCGAGTTTACATAAAAGATGACTATTAAAATTAGATTCGAAAAATGACAAAAAACTAAAATAAAATAAAATAATAGATTTCAAAGGTCAGGATGATGTTATGGTAAAAGGAATAAGAGAAATATTTTATTACAATTATTATGCAAATTAATTTCTTATTTGCATGAATTTTTTTGAAAAACTCCTTGCACCTTCTTGTTTGAAATTCACACTAATAATTCTTTAGAATCTTTTATTTGAAATCTTTACGCATTCATGAGTTAAATATTTTATATAATTGAAGATTCATTAATTTGAAATCAAATTAATAAGTATGCAAACTTGAAGATACAAAGAATTTTCCCCAATTCTAGAGAGAGAAACTTTACATTTCAATTTTTTTCCCAACTTTCACCAACTTGCTCTGTGAATCCATTATGTAATAATAATACAAATAAAAAAATAAAAATAAAAATAAAAATAAAAACTGAAGAAATAAAAGAAATATATAAATGGGATGGTCAATTTCAACCTTGTAAGGGGCATTACTAATGGTCTAATTGATAAAACGTTCAGTTTTCAAACATGTGTGCCCATATTCGTGTGTGTGTGTGTGTGTGTGTTTGTGTTTTCAGCCTTCTAAAATGAGCAAGTTTCACTTCAATATAAAAACATTTGGATCCACTTTACAACCAATAGAATAACATTATAGTATCTGAACATGCAACCATATGATAAAATGCCTATCTGCAACTGGGGATGTCAATTTAGAATAACTATCATATTTTTTCATGCTATAATGTCAAAGTTTTTTATTTTTCTTGATATGTGCCTAATAAAGATTATAATCTAAAAATTAAAGATCAAATAAGATAGGGAATGAAATTATATCTAGAGCACGAGAAATTATTGGTTACAATATGTTATTCGTGCAACTAACCAATACAAATACTCCGTTAAAGCAAATGGTTTGCTCAACCTCTGAAGAATGTTCAAATTCCTTTGTTGATCCTGCTCCCTTGGTTCCGGATATAACTACCAACACCTATCAAATTAGCTGGGGAGAATCCATCATCAGTTGCTTTATGCAGCTCGCTGTAGGAAATATTTGATGATGGATAGTTATGCTTGTGATCAGAAATACATTCAAAATTAAATTAAGCTTAGCTGGGTAGAACCTGTAAATCAATTAGTTTTCAGTTTGCTTTTTTCTTTTTAATCATTTCCTAAATCGTGTTTCTTTAGGAACCCCAAGCATCATGTTCACACGGGCTTGGAAAATTGGAATCTAGTAATTAAAAAGTTTATCCCTGGAGTCACTTCCATTTTCTTTCAATTTTTCATTCCTTAATTCCTAAAGTTTAAATACCTCCAAAATATCCAAAAATAAGAATATAAAATATATATATATATATATATCGAGTTCTCTTATTTTCAGTCAGCTCCAAACTAGCTGCCTTCATATATGCTATAATTTTGTTTCTTCTTTCTTTGTTTTGATGTGATCAACAACAAATATTGGATAACTAAGATTCCCCATCACCACCATATATAATAATATTATCTTAGTACAATGTTGCATTAGTATCAACGACTCAACTTCTTTTTCCTTTCTTCTCTTTTTATGAGTTTCGAAACAAAGGTTTGGGAGTTAAGACGCAAAACTTGACCTAAGACTTAGAATTAAAACCCATTACCACCAGGACAGTGGCTTCTATCACCATGTTTTCAGTAGGCCAGAGGTTGCTTTTCTAAATTCTACATACCCTCTTTAAGATTTCTAAGTTTCTAACCATGAACTCGAGTAAAAAAAATGACGACTCCTCGGTGAGCCAAGGGATTTGACACTAGTATGAATCAACTGTCTAAACCTTGAGATCAGAACTGAATGTGAATAGCATATTTTGACCACTTTATATTTTATTAGTTTGGTTCGAAGGATAGAAAACAATTCAATATGATGAGAGGGAACGTTCAAACTAATTAATTCAGTATCATGCACATTGGCTTACTATTATAATTCTGCATTCACAATTATTACAATAACAACAGAACTCTACATTCTCTGCTTTGCTCAAGTGTAGGTTTTCAAGGCTAGTGCAGCTACCAAGCTATTAGGAATGTGATGTTGTGGTCCGAATTTTGTTTGGACCGTACATGTCGCACATCTGCCCTCGAACTTCTGGGTAGTTTAGGTATGCATAAATGATAAACTTTCCCAAACTTTTTTTTTTCTGATTGAAGAACCAACATATATAATCCATCATCATACTTGGCATTTGAATGAAAATACAAATTAACAAGATAAAAATGACATCGCAATTATCACCAAAATGCACATTAAGGTTGCATTGAAACAAAAAGGCTGCTGGATTTCAAACAAGGATTAGAACAAAGAAATATGCCCATCTAAATGCTACCAATTTCCACATGACATATAAAATGACCTTTTATCCATGCACTAATGGAAGAATATGACCATACAGGATCATTTTTCAGATACACAGCATAGAATTGAGTTGACCTGAATGAAAAGTGAAACCAAAACTAATGCAATTTTTTTTTTTTTTTTTACCTTAAATCAATTGCTCGGACAACAATATATTTCAAGATTAGTGCCTACTTGTAGCCCTTTTGTCTCCGCGTATTCCGGTGTCAAGAAGAATGGCCCTCACCAAATTCAACTTGACTACAACATCACGAATGTTCATTCGTTCTCTTGCCAATTCTGCAGAACAAGCAATTCCAACTGTAAATATGGGAACCAAGCACTCTTGAAGTTTCTCATTTTTAATACTATTGTGCTCTTCACTTTCTTGCAGAAGTATTGGATCTGCAATCTCTGTCACTCTGTCAGCCAAAGCTGCATTGACAAAGTTACGAAGATTTAAACCATCTTTAAACATGGCATCGGTGGGTCTCATCTCGGTGAACATTTCTAAAAGGAGGATGCCAAAGCTGTACACATCACCATATGCCGACACCTCACTTCCCATACCATACTCTGCAATGCACACACAATACGGCATAACCATAATTCTCAAGGAGCACAATGTTAAAGCACTTAAAACATGCAGTTAACTCTTATGCAGACGCACTATTGGTATGAGAGAATATTGGATTTAATATACGCAAACAAATATTGGTATGAGAGAATATTGGATTAAATAAATATATATAACTAAATAAGCTAGGGAATAGAAAATAGAGGAGAAAGGGGTTAAAATTAAATGATTAGCATATTTACCTGGAGCTGTATAACCAATTGATCCTCTTACTCCAATAGAGCTTGTTTGATTCGTAGAAGAACCGTGGGTGGCTTCCGCCAACAATTTAGCCAACCCAAAGTCACTAACATGCCCAGTCACTTCACTGTCGAGAAGAACATTGCTTGGCTTGAGATCACAATGAATTATCTGTGTTTCACAATGATGATGAAGATATTCCAGAGCAGAAGCGACGTCAATGGCAATATTTAATCTCTGAAGAAGGTTTAACTTCCTGGGCTCATCGTGCATGGTATCCTCTCTTGGACTTCCATGCAGCCACTCCTCCAGACTCCCATTAGCCATGAACTCATAAACCAGAGCTTTGAAATCATTACCCTGAAAATCTGAACTTGAACACGCGGTTAGCAACTTGACAAGATTACGATGTCTGATGCTCCTCAAAGCCTCACACTCGGCAATGAAACTCTTGGAAGCTCCGCGGCGCAACATGTTAAGTACCTTCACAGCAACAATTTTTCCATCATCAAAAGTCCCTCTATACACAGATCCAAAACTACCCACACCAATCAAATTGGCTGTCGAAAATCCACCAGTGGCTTTAAGCAGACTCTGGTAAGACACTCTCAAAATCGAACTTTCTGGTGAACCCGAAGGAGGCTCCTTCCTTCTCTTCCTACACCAGAAAAGATATAGAAAACATGACAGCAAAGCTAGTCCTAGAAGCACACATGCTATAGTGACTATTAACTTCAAAGATAGAACTCGCCTCCTCTTTTTAGTCCCTTTGAAGCTGCATTTAGGTAGATGCAATTCAGGTACACCCCCACAGAGCTTTCTGTTTCCAATGATGGAGATTGCACTTGCATTCTTAAAGATGCCTTCTCTTGGTGCCTCACCCTCAAAATCATTGAAAGAGATATTTAACTGCTGCAAGAAGTCAAAGCCCGCCATATATTCTGGAATTTCACCTGACAAATTGTTGTAAGAGAGATCTAAGTTTTGAATACCTCTCAAAGACGTTAGAGACGAAGGAACGGTGCCTTGAAGGAAGTTGCGCTGCAAATACAGTGTTTCCAATCTTACACAGCTACCGAGACCATCAGGGATTTTGCTGGATAAATTGTTCATGGAAACATCCAAGTATTCGAGATTCTTCAAGTTTCCAACTTCCATGGGAAGTGAGCCACTCAAATGGTTATGAGATAGGTCTAGAGTGATCGATAAAGAGGAGAGATCAAAGATTTCTTGTGGTATTGTACCACTAAGGTTGTTTCGACCAAGATCCAATAATTCCAAATATTGGCATTTGCCCAGACTCGAAGGGATGCCACCATGGAAATTATTCTCTCCCAAACCGAGTTTGGTTAGTAAAGTTAAATTTCCAAGGGAGGATGGAATGTTTCCCGAGAAATTGTTCTCCAGAAAAGCCAATTCTTGTAACTTTTGAAGCTTCCCAATGTCAGTGGGAATGTTACCAGTGAATTGGTTGGCTGCCAAATATAAGGCCTCCAAGCTGATGAGATTCAATATCCCTGCTGGGATGTTTCCAGATATTTGATTGGATGATAAAGTCAAATATGCAAGCTTGGTTGACAGGTTGCCGATGGACTCTGGCAACACCCCTCCAAAGTTGTTTTGAGTCAGCCCCAACGTCTCTAAACTTGTGGCATTAGTCAAAGAGGCTAGAAAACTCAAGTCATCGGCTTTCCCACCTCCAAGACTATTGAAACCAATGGTAAACCTCTGAAGTCCATGCAGATTTTCCAGGGTAGGCACTTTTCCAGTGAGATGATTATAACCAGCTACAAAGGCAACTAGATTTGTGGCATTCGATACTGAATCGGGAAAGGGACCTGTGAATTCGTTGTCAAAAATGCTGAAAAATTGGAGATTAGGCAGAGTGATGCCCAAGTCAGAGGGAAGACTCCCTTGGACTTGGTTGCTTCCAAGGTCAATAGCCATAATAGAAGAGAGATTAAAAAGTGAAGAAGGAATGGTACCAGAGAATCTATTTTCTCTCACTACAAGATATTTCAGGTTTTTCAACTGGCATAGAGCCTCAGGAATGCTTCCTTCCAAGCTATTTTTGTTTACGAAGAATACCAGAAGAGAGGAGAGATTTCCTGAAGCAGGAGGGATGGGTCCTGATAAACTGTTACCATCAAAAAAAATTGCTTCGAGCTTAGACAAGGCATAAAGCTCTGTTGGGATTTTTCCTGTCAACATGTTGTTAGATAAATCAAGAGTAAGGAGGTTGGAGCAACCAGACATATTGGTAGGGATTTCGCCAACCAGCGAATTATTGTTCAGGCGCAAAATTTGCAGCCTGTGCAAATGGGCAAGTTCTGGGGGGATTTTGTGGCTGAAGCTATTGTTTTGCAGCCTTAACACCCTAAGAAAGCTCAAATTCCCGAGGTGTGGCGATATGGCCCCAACCAGATTCTGGGACTGCAGGTCTACCACGGTGACCCTCCCCTGGTGGAGGCGACCACATGTAACGCCTTGCCACTGGCAGTAGTGAATGGATCTATTCCATGAGCTCAGAAACTGGTGAGGATCATTCTTTATTCCGGCCTTGAATGCAAGCAATGCAAGTTGATCTGTCTCATTCCCTCCTAGCCTTGAAGTGGCTGAGGAGACAGGAAAGCCTGGTTGCAGCAAGCTCATGCAATATAGGAGTATGACATGTATGGAAACATTTATATGTGACCAAAATAATTTTGAGCTCAAACCTGAATGCGCCATTTGATTTTTAAGGAAAGTTCGACAATATTGGATACTTCAAGTAAAGCAAATCAAAGAAACTATATATATATAATATTATATATACATGCATACATATTCAGGGGCTAATAGTGATATGATTCAAGAATTCTGAAAACTAGTGAAATGTATGGATTATGGCCATCATAGGTTGAATGAGGTTATATATAATTATTTCTCCAGTTGGTTCTCTATGCTGAGATGGTTGAATTTTCTCATAAGCCTGTGAAGTGTGAAATATGGACCTTGTAAGGTAGGTCATGCCATCAGCTAGATTGTACTAGTCATTTAGGCTCAGTTTGGTAGAGTGGGTTTGAAGGGAAAGGGAAGGGAAGGTGATGGAAGGTTATAAAAAAATTGTGTTTGGGTAAAATTGGTGGAAGGGAAGGAAAGGAGAGGGAAGGGTTTGGAGGGTTAAGGCAAGGCTTGAACAGTAGATTTGTTAACCTCTCAAAAATGGGCGGAAACGGAAGGAAAAGGAAGGCAATGGCACATGTGATAATCGTGATGCCAATTTTACCCACACAAAATCAAGGATTTAGTTAAGCAAAACAAGAATTACAGACCTTAATTGGTTGATTTAGCAAAACAAAACCCGTACATATAAGTTAGCCATTGCACAGAGAAAGAGAGGGGGGAAGCTTACAGCGGCTGAAACTTGCGTACAGCGAACCCGAACTGGAACAACCGGCGATGGAAACGGCGAACCCAAACTAGAACAGCGGGCAAGAGAAACTGAAAGATATGGGTTTTGATTTTTGGAACAATCTGAAACAATATGCGGATATGGGTTTTGAACCTTTGATTCTTGCAAATGATAGATAAACATATGGGTTTGGAACTTGGATTGTTGTAGTTTTGTGGTTTGCAGTTGCAAAAGAGAGAGAGTGTTGCAGAGAGAGAACGAGAATAGAGATGGAGGCGGGGACCCTAAAATGATGACCCTAAAAATATTATATTTATATTAATATTTTTCTTTTCTTTTTCTTTTTCTTTTATTTTCTTTTTTTTTTTTTTTTTTTTTTTTTTACAAATATTACATACTTAAGTTATTAATTTTTATTTTAAATTATAAAAGGGTATAATAGTAAATTTACCGAAATACTTTCCTTTCCTTTCTTTCCCCAAACATAATTATTATCCTTCCCTTCCTTTTCCTTCCTTAATCAACCAAACACAATACTAAATTAAAATTATCCTTCCCTTCCCTTGCCTTCCATTTCCCTCATAACTAATCTTATCCTTCCCTTTCAAACCCACCCTACCAAATATAGCCTTAGTGAAAGCAACTTGGCAAGTAGAGTGTAGACAGTACTACACTCACACATCTCTAATTTGTTCCTACCAGAAATGATACGACGTATGAAAAATGGAAGGAAGTGAAAGGAAAGAGGAGTCGCAAAAGTCCTACTGAAATTAAGGATAATGATGAGCAATTTACCCTAAAAAAACAAAGGAGAAAGAACAGTGTTGATGAGCTGAGACAATGTGAAATCTCATTAAATTAAGGAATTGAAATGGGACCAGTTTGGTTTAGCCCCCACCACGAAGATTTTATGTTAAATCAAAATCAACACCGACTCTGCTACAGTATTTCTTTAAGGCTTCCACTTTCAACTTTAGATATCTATCAAAAATAAATTAAAATATAAAAATTAGACATCTAACATACACCACAAGTGTGAAGCTGCATCTCATAAGTGCCATAGGAGTATTTGGAAAGAACAAATGTACCAATAAACATCATAACCAGCGCAGGCCTAATTAGATAATAATCAATTAGAAGAGCAACAAAAATATCATAAACATGTATAATTTTAAACTTCTGATGCACACTAGGGATGTCGATCGACTCGATCTTCATATGTAATGTGTACGAGTGTGCGTAAATCCCTTGAAGTGTAAGAAACGTATCATGTTGATGAAGTTAATTGCGTGGACCGGTTTGAAGGTTGAACTCTAGAAAATGTTGAGAAGCACCCATTCTGCGAAGCTGCAACCAGATTCGGAGAGCATATGGTGGGAGACTCACAGATCCTAAAACTAGTTGATAAAACATCTAGTTTCTCAAACATGTTTGTCCATATTTGAGTCCTTTCTCATCCTAATTTGTCAGAGAAAAAAAAAAAAAAAATCAGCATTCTTAAATGAGCAAGGTTCACTTCAATATAAACACATTTGGATCCACTTTACAACCAACCGTATAAAAAAATAATTTTACATTTGATGATGGATGGTTATGCTTGTGATTAGAAATACATTCAAAATTAAATTAAGCTTAGTTAGGTAGAACCAGTAAATCAATTAGTTTTCAGTTTCTTTTTTCTTTTTAATCATTTCCTAAATCTTTTTCTCTAGGAACCTCGAGCATCATGTTCACATTTTCTTTTTCTTTTATATTTTCATTCCTTAATTCCCAAAGTTTAAATACCTCCAAAATATCCAAAAATAAGAATATAAAATAAATAAATAAAAATTCTTGAGTTCTCGTATTTCCGGTCACCTCCAAACTAGCTGCCTTCATATATACCATATTTGTGTTTTTTCTTTGTTTGTTTTGATGTGATCAGCAACAAATATTGGACAACCAAGATTCTTCATCTTGCCACCATTTATAATAATTTTACCTTGGTGCAAAGCTGTACTAGCATCAAAGATTCAGCTTCTTTTACCTTTCTTCTCTCTTTATTAATTTTGAAACTTTCACCTAGGGCTTGAAAGTTAAAACGAAAAACTTAACCTGATATACTCATGATGTTATCTGCAGAAGGCAATTTTTGAAAATTATCTTTATAAAATTTTTATGTTTGAATAATTAATGGTTTAGTCAAAGGATTGCGCCGGAGAAAATACTACCTCCCTTTCTTATTAGTTGTTCATTTTTGGTTTTATAACTTTTTAAGGGGACATACAATTAATGCATTGTTTTCTTTTAAAATTATCAAATTGTCCTTTTTAATTTAAATATATATAGTTACGAAGTTTTAAATTTTTTAAAAAAATAAACGATAATAATGAAAATATATATAAAAAAAAAAATACTTTAACTTTTTAAATAGGACAATTAATTTAGGACATGTAAAAAGTGAAAAATAGATTATTAATAAGGAAACTGTAGGAGTAATCATTTTAGAATTGGATTGGTCAATAGAATTTGGTCCTTTGGGGCATGAAACCAGACAAAAAGAAAACCATGGGAAAGAAACTGGGGGTGATAAACAAATTAGAAAACAAGTTTCATATAAATAGTCATAATTACAGAATAAGTGCATTAGAGGTGGGTTGAACAGTTTGACAGATGGTGAAGAAGGTAAGGTCAAGTCAACGTTTGGAAATACATTATAATCAATTCTTTACCTAAGTAGTTATATAAATTTATACCAAATTAATTGTGGTGTTTCATCCTTTTTTTAATATTTTATTTTATTTTATAAATAGTTTTACAAACACTTAATTATATTTGACTCATATCGAATTTGAACACACAACCTCTACAAATATAGTGGTCCATGAATTCACGAGTGCTGTGAACCCTATCATGCCTATCAATTTGGTAATAATGGGAGTTGATTAATATAATCTAGGGTTAATTACAATGACACCCCCTGAGATTTGCTATAATGACAACCATATACAAATTGGCTCACTTTTGAACGATCATACCCCCTCAGGTTTGCTCCCTTCACAAAGACACCCCTTGAGTGTCTGACACATGGTAAAATGACCTCAATAACCTATGACTTATGATGGGACACTGAAATTACCAATTTACCCATTCTGTATATCAACCACCTAGCCACAGAGCCATCGCCGCCATCACCACCGCCTCATCTTTCCTCTCTTCAACCTCTTTCTTTTACACACACACACACACACACATACATTCATACAATTGCAATCCAATCCATTCCTACACTACCCAAACCATTCCCAAATTAATCACAATTTTTTTCTCCAAACTAGTTTTAATGGAAACCATCGCCCCGTTTGGCAACAAATGCGCCACCATTGCCCGCCTCCTCTCGGGTCGAACTGACAAGGCCATATATATATATCCACTGGAACTCCATTGATGAAGGAGATGTACTTAAATTAGCAGCCATTGAAGAGATTGGAGAGTGCAGGTTCTCCCCTTTTAGTTTCGGGTCTATATTTCAGACCGGGTATGATGTAAGTGAATCGAGCCTTCCGGCAAAAACGCAAATGGATTTGGTGATGATGCAAAATCAGATATGGGCTTAATATCTTCATCATCAAGGATGCCGATCTCTGTTCAGCGGAAGCGATATGGCGGAATACCAACAGCAGAGGCGACAGTGGCACCGTCGCCGCAGAAGGCGGATGATCTGTTTGGGCCGTTCAGCAAGGAGTTCTTGCCAGGAATATAATCGCCGCCAGTGATCGATGGCCTGAGTAAGGCGTTGGATTACACGCTCCGAGCTTCGAATTTGTTCGACTAATGTGTTGTCCGCGGCGAGCATCTGCATTATCTTCGGATCACGATTTGTATCGATGATAGAATATTCTTCTTCATTCCAGAAGTTAGAGAGTGTGTGGAATGAACAAACATGCCACTTGTTTAGGGTTAGGTGAGATCTTGATAGAAAGGCAAATGCGTCTTTTAAAAATTATGATATTTTGTCATTAAAATCAATTAAATACTGATGGGCAATTTCGTCTTTTCAAATCATTTAAGGGCCTATTTGGATAAAAATTGATCAAAATTTTGACAAGGGGGTGTCATTGTTCAAAAAAGGCCAAACTTATATATGATTGTCATTATTACAAACATCATAGGGTGTCATTGTAATTAACTACAACAAAACATAATGCCATATAGGAATGGTGACTTATTAAAACAAAAAAAACAAAAAACAAAAAATTTTGCTCAATCATACTATTAATAAGTTGATTATTTGGGCTTAACATATATTAAAATAATCATCAATAAACATACTTTCAAGGCTTTCAAAACTATGGGAAGCAAACCAGGGCAGTGAAAGGTTGAATTGACAAATGGACAAAAGAAAGAAAAACAATCCCCCAATTATGACACTAGTAAACAAATCATTGAACAACTGTATAGTTGACATTAGGTGAGTATGTGTCAAGTAAGCACTTGGTCAAAAAAAATCAGATTGGTTGAAGTTTTGAAAGTTTTTTTTTTACATTTGCCTATTGTTCCATACTACTTTGGTCCTGGTCCTTAAGTCAGACCACATTGAACGATATATATTCACACACTCTCTTCTTTCACTCATTCACTCTGTTTTTTTCCCGGGCTACATGTACATGAATTACATACACTCTTCTCTCCTTACAAAATTTACTATTTCAGCCCCTTACTTTTTTTCTCTCATGCCCAAACTCTTCTCCATTTATATGGTATCCAAACGCAATTCTTTGTTGGACAAAAATTTTACAATTTACCACACAACTAGAAAACAGCAGCATAATAAATCACAGCTTTCTTCCCGGCCAAATCTTCAACCTTGGTCCGCAAGTCTTCAAACTTCTAAAATTGAATAGAAATTTGTCTCTCGCGCATACCAAACACGTTGGACTGATCTGCAATACTTAGACTTGTCGAATTCTTCCATAATCTCAATCTTCAATCCATAACCATGTTGGACCGATCCGAAATTAGATCGATCCAATTTTTTTAGAATCCGAACTTTGACTGAATTTGAGTCACACTCTAACAGCATCAGCACCATCTCCACGTTTTGAATTATGGTAGTTAAAATTGTCATCGTATGCTTTTAGCTACTTTCACTTGTTAGGCAAAATAAGAATAACAATTATATCTTCATATTTCAAACAATTATATTATGTGAAATATGCAATATTTATATATATAATATTTGATCATACATAATTTTTTTACTTTAAAGTCATACAAACACTCTGCTTACGTGCTTTCTAAAAGACCATTTTATTTTTTTCTCATAAGGTCTCAAATTATATGACTCGCCCCTGCAATTAGCCTACTATGCATTTGAATGAAAATACAAATTAGCAAGATAAAATAAAAAAATAAAAAAGACGTCACCATTATCACCAAAATTCACATTAAGGTTGCATTGAAGCCAAAAAGCTGCTGGATTTCAAAAAAGGATTTGAACAAAGAACTATGCCCATCTAAATGCTACCAATTTCCACGTGACATATAAAATGACCTTTTATCCATGCACTAATGGAAGAATACAACCATAGGATCATTTTTCAGATACACAGCATAGAATCGAGTTGCCCTGAATGAAAAGTGAAACCAAAACTAATGCAATACTTTTTACCTTAAATCAAATGCTCGGACAACAATATAATTCAAGATTAGTGCCTACTTGTAGCCTTTCTGGCTCCGCGTATTCCGGTGTCAAGAAGAATGCCCCTCACCAAATTCAACTTGACTACAACATCACGAATGTTCATTCGTTCTCTTGCCAATTCTGCAGAACAAGCGACTCCGATTGTAAATATGGGAACCAAGCACTCTCCAAGTTTCTCATTTTTAATACTACTGTGCTCTTCACTTTCTTGCAGAAGTATTGGATCTGCAATCTCTGTCACTCTATCAGCCAAAGCTGCATTAACAAAGTTACAAAGATTTAAACCGTCTTTAAACATGACATCAGTGGGTCTCTTCCCGGTGAACATTTCTAAAAGGAGGATGCCAAAGCTGTACACATCACCATATGCCGACACCTCACTTCCCATACCATACTCTGCAATGCACACACAATACATCATAACTCTTATGCATACGCACTATTGGTACGAGCATATTGGATTTAATATGCGCAATCATATTTTATAGACTTGGATTGGAAGTATATATTCCTTCTAAATCTATAAGGGCATTAGAGGTTGGTGCAGGTCTCATTAAACAAGCTAATATTCTCAGATACACAAGTAAAACGACAATAGAATCCTCATATATATATATATATATATATAACACTAAATAAGCAAGGGAATAGAAAATAGAGGAGAAAAGGGTTAAAAATAAAATGATTAGCATATTTACCTGGAGCTGTATAACCAATTGATCCTCTTACTCCAATAGAGCTTGTTTGATTCGTAGAAGAACCGTGGGTGGCTTCCGCCAACAATTTAGCCAACCCAAAGTCACTAACATGCCCAGTCACTTCACTGTCGAGAAGAACATTGCTTGGCTTGAGATCACAGTGAATTATCTGTGTTTCACAATGATGATGAAGATATTCCAGAGCAGAAGCGACGTCAATGGCGATATTTAATCTCTGAAGGAGGTTTAACTTCCTGGGCTCATCGTGTATGGTATCCTCTCTTGTAATTCCATGCAGCCACTCCTCCAGACTCCCATTAGCCATGAACTCATAAACCAGAGCTTTGAAATCATTACCCTGAAAATCTGAACTTGAACATGCAGTTAGCAACTTGACAAGATTACGATGTCTGATGCTCCTCAAGGCCTCACACTCGGCAATGAAACTCTTGGAAGCTCCGCGGCGCAACATGTTAAGTACCTTCACAGCAACAATTTTTCCATCATCAAAAGTCCCTCTATACACAGATCCAAAACTACCCACACCAATCAAATTGGCTGAAGAAAATCCACCAGTGGCTTTAAGAAGAGACTGGTAAGACACTCTGAAAATCGAACTTTCTGGTGAACCCGAAGGAGGCTCCTTCCTTCTCTTCCTACACCAGAAAAGACATAGAAAACATGACAGCAAAGCTAGTCCTAGAAGCACACATGCTATAGTGACTATTAACTTCAAAGATAGAACTCGCCTCCTCTTTTTAGTCCCTTTGAAGCTGCATTTAGGTAGCTGCAATTCAGGTACACCCCCACAGAGCTTTTTGTTTCCAATGATGGAGATTGCACTTGCATTCTTAAAGATGCCTTCTCTTGGTGCCTCACCCTCAAAATCATTGAAAGAGAGATTTAACTGCTGCAAGAAGTCAAAGCCCGCCAAATATTCTGGAATTTCACCTGACAAATTGTTGTAAGAGAGATCTAAGTTTTGAATACCTCTCAAAGAACTTAGAGATGAAGGAACGGTGCCTTGAAGGAAGTTGCGCTGCAAATACAGTGTTTCCAATCTTACACAGCTACCGAGAGCATCAGGGATTTTGCCGGATAAATTGTTCATGGAAACATCCAAGTATTCGAGATTCTTCAAGTTTCCAACTTCCATGGGAAGTGAGCCACTCAAATGGTTATGAGATAGGTCTAGAGTGATCGATAAAGAGGAGAGATCAAAGATTTCTTGTGGTATTGTACCACTAAGGTTGTTTCGACCAAGATCCAATAATTCCAAATATTGGCATTTGCCCAGACTCGAAGGGATGCCACCATGGAAATTATTCTCTCCCAAACCAAGTTTGGTTAGTAAAGTTAAATTTCCAAGGGAGGATGGAATGTTTCCCGAGAAATTGTTCTCCAGAAAAGCCAATTCTTGTAACTTTTGAAGCTTCCCAATGTCAGTGGGAATGTTACCAGTGAATTGGTTGGCTCCCATATATAAGTCCTCCAAGCTGATGAGATTCAATATCCCTGCTGGGATGTTTCCAGATATATGATTGTATGATAAACTCAAATCTGCAAGCTTGGTTGACAGGTTGCCGATGGACTCTGGCAACACCCCTCCAAAGTTGTTGTCATTCAGCTCCAACACCTCTAAGCTTGTGGCATTAGTCAAAGAGGCTAGGAAACTCAAGTCATCAGCTTTCCCACCTCCAAGACTATTGATAGCAATGGTAAACCTCTGAAGTCGATGCAGATTTTCCAGGGTAGGCACTTTTCCAGTGAGATGATTATAACCAGCTACAAAGGCAACTAGATTTGTGGCATTCGATACTGAAACAGGAAAGGGACCTGTGAATTCGTTATCGAAAATGCTGAAAAATTGGAGATTAGGCAGGGTGATGCCCAAGTCAGAGGGAAGACTCCCTTGGATTTGGTTGCTTCCAAGGTCAATAGCCATAATAGAAGAGAGATTAAAAAGTGAAGAAGGAATGGTACCAGAGAATCTATTTTCTCTCAATACAAGATATTTCAGGTTTTTCAATTGGCATAGAGCCTCAGGAATGCTTCCTTCCAAGCTATTTTTGTTTACGAAGAATACCAGAAGAGAGGAGAGATTTCCTGAAGCAGGAGGGATGGGTCCTGATAAACTGTTACCATCAAAATGAATTGCTTCGAGCTTAGACAAGGCACAAAGCTCTGCAGGGATTTTTCCTGTCAACATGTTGTTAGATAAATCAAGAGTAAGGAGGTTGGAGCAACCAGACATATTGGTAGGGATTTCGCCAACCAGCGAATTATTGTTCAGGCGCAAAATTTGAAGCCTGTGCAAATGGCCTAGTTCTGGCGGGATTTTGTGGCTGAAGCTATTGTTATGCAGCCTTAACACCATAAGAAAGCTCAAATTCCCGAGGTGTGGCGATATGGCCCCAACCAGATTCTGGGACTGCAGGTCTACCACGGTGACCCTCCCCTGGTGGCGGCGACCACATGTAACGCCTTGCCACTGGCAGTAGTGAATGGATCTATTCCATGAGCTCAGAAACTGGTGAGGATCATTCTTTATTTCGGCCTTGAATGCAAGCAATGCAAGTTGATCTGTCTCATTCCCTCCTAGCCTGGAAGTGGCTAAGGAGACAGGAAAGCCTGGTTGCAGCAAGCTCATGCAATATAGGGGTATGAAATGTATGGAAACATTTATATGTGACCAAAATGTTTTTGAGCTCAAACCTGAATGCGCCATTTGATTTTTAAGGAAAGTTCGACAATATTGGATACTTCAAGTAAAGCAAATCAAAGAAACTATATATATATAATATTATATATACATGCATACATATTCAGGGGCTAATAGTGATATGATTCAAGAATTCTGAAAACTAGTGAAATGTATGGATTATGGCCATCATAGGTTGAATGAGGTTATATATAATTATTTCTCCAGTTGGTTCTCTATGCTGAGATGGTTGAATTTTCTCATAAGCCTGTGAAGTGTGAAATATGGACCTTGTAAGGTAGGTCATGCTATCAGCTAGATTGTGCTAGTCATTTAGTGACAGCAACTTAGCAAGTAGTCATTTAGTGAAAGCAACTTAGCAAGTAGTCGGTAGACAGTACTACACTCACACGTGACAAATTACTAGATCAATCGTAGACAAGAAACCCTAAACACCCATATATATTTAGGCTACAATAGAATTCTAGAATTGAGTCCAGCTATGACCCAAATTCAGACCACAACTTCAAAGCGAAACTTTTGACACTATTCAAAAGTTGATAGTTATTAAACTTATAGAATAAAACCCATCTATATTCCGATATCATGTTACTATGATTCAATTAAAATGGAGCATAAAAGGGTGCTAGCTAGACCTGTATCTATCAATAAAGATCCAAAATCTAACATCAGCATGTGAATTTTGACAATTCAACCGCATAGACAGAAGCCGAAAAATTAGACAAGTATAGCACATTGTAGGTGGTGTAGGGGTGGAATAATTAGACAAGTGGTACAAGGTTCCATTTAAGTGGTTGATAAAGGGGGGACAACAATTGGGAAGGTCCATTTTATAGGACCTAAAAGTCAATTATTTACCTCACACACTTCTCTAATTTGTTCCAACCAGAAATGATAGTGGCATGGTGCATGCCTATTGTATTGTTCTTTTGGATATAGACAAGAGTGTGATGCCCATTTGGTACGACGTATGAAAAATGGAAGGAAAGGAAAGAGGACTCGCAAAAGTCCTACTGAAATTAAGGATAATGATGAGCATTGACCCTAAAAAACAAAGGAGAAGGGACAGTGTTGATGAGCTGAGACAATGTGAAATCTCATTAAATTAAGGAAGTGATATGGGACCAGTTTGGTTTAGCCCCATTATGAAGATTTTATGTTAAATGAAATCAACACCAACTCTACTATTTCTTTTAGGCTTCCACTTTCAACTTTAGATATCTAACAAAAATAAAAAAAAATATAAATATTATACATCTAACATACACCACAAGTCTGAAGCTGCATCTCATAAGTGCCATAGGAGTATTTGGAAAGAACAAATGTAGCAATAAACATCATAAACAGCGCAGGCCTTAGATAATTCTTTATATATCTACTTCATTGAAATCAATTAGAAGAGCAACAAAAATATCATAAACATGTATAATTTTAAACTTGTGATGCACACTTAGGATGTCGATCTCCATATGTAATGTGTATGAGTGTGGGTGTGAGTGTGAGTGTAAATCTCTTGAAGTGAAAGAAATGTATCGTGTTGATCAAGTTAATTGCGTAGACCAGATTGAAGGTTCAACCCTAGAAAATGTTGAGAAGCACCCATTCTGCGAAGCTGCAACCAGATTCGAAGAGCATACGGTGGGACACTCACAGATCCTGGAAATATCCCCTTGTCCCCTCCACCAACAATACCTTTCTCAATTTTCTCTCATGGTCCTGGTTAAAATTTTTGTTTCTTTTGTTTGGATGGAGGGAAGAGAGGGGTAAGTACAGAAAACACCATCAACTATACATTTTGTAGCATTTTTAATCCTCATCTTTTAATATGGTGCAAAATTAATCTATGTCAAAAATCTTACATAAATCAGAGATGTTTTACCCATTTATGTTTTCCAAATTGCCCATGCAATCAGCTCCGTCGGCCGTGCTACCGGAAATTTCAGTGTTCTCACCGCTAATCCGTCCGCCTCAAACCTGACCATGAGAACCACGGACCAAGGCGAAAGCCCAGAGCAACAGTGTTACTCTCTCTACCATCAAGTCTCAACTCTCGCCATCACCGCTCTCTTCTCACTCGTCCAACCCTGCTCCTTCTCTACAAAATCCATTAGATTTAAGCTTAATCAAAGCACTCACCCCTGCTCTCTCTTCGAAATTACATGTTCATTGGTTTAAGGTTAATCAAACCACACATATAGCAAGAACGAAATCACAATCTGGATGGTTAAGGGTACTCGTAGCACTTACCCCTTCCTTTCCTTCGAGGACCGCCGAGATGCCGTCACACCACACACTCACCACAATTTCTCAGCCGAGGACAGCCGAGATGCCGCCACACCACACACTCACCGCAATTTCTCAGCCTCAGAAACCAGCGCGATCTCTGGCCGAAATCCGATTACGGATCCAATGTCATCGTCGGTGTTTTCAAGACCGGAGTTTGGCCGGAGCGAAGAAGCTTCTCCGATCTGAATCTCGGCTGGAGCGACGGTTTGTATGATAGCGACGTCTCTAAAATCCCCAAGGAACATGCTGCCGCCACCAATAGCCACCATTAGCGCCTCCAGTACCTTCGCCGGTTGGTCTTCGCTGCTGCCAGTACCTTCGGCGGCGCCAGAACTCGCTGCCGTCGTTCCGCCATCATGCTTGCAACCCACGATCCCTTGCAACCGCCTCAGTATTTGAAATTTTTTTATAAATTTTTGGGTTAAATGCAAAAAACCCCCTTGAACTATCGGGGGTTTTGCAACTAACTCCCTTGAATTAAAAAAAAACCCCTGAGCTATGAATTTATTGCAATTTGCCCACTCAGGCCACCGGAAAAGTAAAAAGACAAAACTGCCCTTCCAAGTTTGTTATATACTCAATACAACCAAACCTGAAGCCACACACACTGCAGAAATGGAAGAAGTGGCGGCAGCACTGGTGGAGATCTCTTTGTAATTCGTCAACCGTGGATGTGGAACAGAGCATCGATCATCGTCGTAGCCGCCGAGCGAGAGAGAGAGGGGTGAAGGTGATGGCAGCCGGCGCGTGAGAGAGAGCTCGGCGGTGTGGGTTGTGGATATTTCGGCTGGTAGAGAGCTCGATGGTGTAGAACAGCGACTAGGGAAGTCGCGATTCTGGCACAAATCAGAGAATGGCACAGCGGCGACGGATCTGGCGTTGGCGACAACGGCTTGTGTGCGTCGGTGATTGATAGAACAGCGGGCAAGATGGGTTGTGGATGAACTTCGGCAGTGCTCGGATGGGGGCGAGACGGTGACGGCGAGCTTTCGCAGCGGTGGGCGACGGGTTGTGGAGAAGATCAAGGCAAGGATAATGGATACTTGGGTGAGTTGTTTGCTTGCACTTAGTAACTTTTGATTAAAATTATAATGCTTACTATTCCTGAATGGACCTTCCTTGCTGCCACCAGCACCACCATCAGAAATAAAAAATTGCACAAGAGATACTTAATATTGTTTGTTTTCATCTGAATTTTTTTGTTCTTCAGATGTGAGTTGTCCATAAGATTCGACTTGGATTTGGAGATGGACCCCGGCAATAAAATATGAATTTAAAACAAAAAACATGGATCTTGCTTCATTTTGATTACACAGTTTGGTGTTGGATTTCAAAAAATATGTGGGTCAAATCAATTAAATATGAGTCTGAATTGGATTTCTTTCTCAAAACTAATACTCCTGGGTTGTTTTTGGCTCACACTTTTCCATTGAATTCTATTCTGAATTATATTCTTACACAAGGGATTTCTATGACAACAAATAATGTCTCAATTAATCATGGGAAACAGGGAACTGTGTTTTTGGGTTGTATTTGGGCTTAAATCTTAACACGTTGAGAAAATATGGTAGACATCAGTAAACTGCAAGTAATTTTGATTCATTGAAGTAGGTTGTGATCTTGGTTGGTCTCACTATATTCATTCTGCCAGATGTTGGAAAAAACAGCTGAGTATAGCAAAGGATGCTCGCCGTGTTGATGTCCTCTGTCATAGGATGTTCTTGAGTTACAGGCTCCTGGATGGAACTTCCATGTTTAAACAACTGCATGAAATTGTTAGCGATGCCAAAGACCAAATTAGAAACAGAGGTTGGTCCAGTGAATGGAGTTTCGTCCAAGATGGCACGGGGCATCGTCAGCAGACTTTTTGTTGCAGTTGATGTGCATAAACTCTGCTCTCTTGCAATTGAGAAGGTAGATGAACGGCTGGCCACCATTTCTAACAGGAATCCAAACTGCGGAGGTTATTACCCATAATCATTTGTTTATATTTACTTCCAATCATTCAAAAGAATTATAGGCAAGTGCTCAGATGGGGGTGAGACGGTGATGGCGAGCTTTCACAGTGGTGGGCGACGGGTTATGGAGAGGACTCAGCCGCAATGAGGTGCTTCACGGTGTGATGGCAGCGGCGAGCTTGCCTTCGGATGATGGTGGTGGTAGTGGAGCCACCACTAATGACGACTCATGGTGCAATTAATTTGGGGTGATTACCAGTGACGACTCGTGTGTATATCTATATATATATAAATATATCGATTGAGCTTTGGTGTTTCAGTACGAATTACTGTATTTGAATTGATTCAATTGGGAAATTGTTTGAGAAACGTTTGTGGCTACGGCGATGATGGCAGTGGCTGGACTGGTTCACTATGAATTATTTAAATTTTTTAAAATTGTGGTTCAATTGCTTCGAATGGTGGTGGCAGTGGGATTTTAGTGTGATTTGGGTTAAACGGCTTTCGGTGTGGAAGATGGGCTTGTCGGTGTTGAACCACGAACGCCTGCTGTTGAAGATGGTGAACAGTTATAGGGCATGTTTGGGTATGCTATGGGGTCTATGGAAATTAAGGGCATTTTAGTCCTTTCATGCATATAAGGGCAGTATGGTCTTTTAAAATAAGTAAATTATTTTTAACGGCCAAAACTTGCCGGATTTTTGCCGGATGGAGTTATCTGAAACAAAATTGAATAGTTCAGGGGGTTAGTTGCAACTTTTGTAGTTTAGGGGGGTTAATTGCAACTTTGTCAATAGTTCAGGGGGGTTTTTTGCATTTAACCCTAAATTTTTTTTTTGTGCTTAACTAATAAATGTGATTTAACCCTCTTGACAAAAGTTGTTTGGTTCGTGAAATGGAGTGTAATTTTTTAAATCATTATTTACACAAAAAGTGAAAATAATAATAATAATAATAAAAAAAATTTTAAAAAAAAAAAAACTAAATGAGATCAATAACCTTTTTGACTTTTTAAATTACGCAGATTATTATCCACCAAAAGCATTAAATCTGAATTATGTATCTAACAATTATACAGCTTTAACAATCAAATTTCAGTTTTAATAATTAAAAAAAAAAAAAAAAAACCATTTCAATAACAAACCAAACACAACCTCACAATTTAC